GTATGTATCCTTTTAATGAATTTAATTGGAAAATTATGAAGAAAGAAATAAATAAATAAACGTATATAAATTATGTTCTTCTTAACAGAGATATTGATCATTATCATAAAAGTTTCTTATTCAATTATGGCCGTGAAACAGGATGATTTTGATGATGTACCTATGCCATCTCCACCTTCAACTACAAATTCTGAAGAGAAATTAACAAATAATAAGAAATAAAAAATGTAATTATTCTCGATATATATTTTATTTATATATTTAATTATCCAAGAATAATTAATAATTTTTTAAAAAAATTAAAAATAAATTCTATTATCAATATTAATTAATATTTTAACTTAGATCTGAGTATTTGAAGTCCTGGATATTGTGTTTCAATGACAATTAATCAATTGTGACTACTCACATGTACCACGCTTAGAAATGTACTGTCGATGTAGTCAGAACTTTACCAATTAGTTTTTTTGATACAGGCTCGAGCAAAAAATTGCACAACCATTTACATCGAGCTTATTGATAGAATTATTAGATAAAATGGATGTAATTTAGACGAGATGAATATATCATAACTATTAATCTGGGAGGGAAGTTAGTAAGATTGAAGACGGGTGATATGATGATTGTTAGAAGTATAGTAAGCTTAATCATGTAGTCAAACTTTTTTCTCTTGCAAGTTTATGAATAAAGCTTGTACAATAGCCCTCTCTCACCCATTGTATTCATGTATTCATTGATGGTAAACTAAAATGAATCAGTATCATTTGATCTCGATTATTTCGAAAAAGCAAAACCAGTATGCGATTGCACACACATATATAATGATTTTATAATAATAAATTGATAGAAATAAATATTACTTATAGAAAATTTAAAAATTACAAATTTAAGACTTGTATTATTAGACTTGTTTAGATAATTTAGCTTAATCGATTATTTGTTATTTGAATTTTTCTTGTGGAGCTGTAAATGTTGAAATTTTATTTTAATAAATAGGCTATCGCCATATAAGGAAATAATTATTTGAGCTCTTAATTAGGAAAATATAATTTCATAAGTAGATACTAAAAAAGGAAAATATTCACATATTTTGAGCCGAATGTAAATTTGTCTAGTAAATTTCAACAACGTAGCAATTACTAGTAACGTCACAAATGAGCAGACAAATCTGCGCCTATTTCAACATGATAACCGCTTATTCTCACACCTAGTCCAGATTTCTTAATGAAATAGTAAATATTTTGTGATATTAAATGCTAAATGTCACATAATAAATGTTAAATAAACGTAAAATTTGTTGAAATAGGCGCAGATTTGTCTGCTTGCCATACAAAACAGGACGCATCGATGTTGCTCATGGTAATAGTGAAAAGAATTAGAGATCTTGTCAACAATTTAAGTTTCATATTGATAGTTCAAATAAGAAGTTTATGACCTTTTGCTTTGTTTCTATTCGTTGGAAAATTGGAAAGTTATGTTTAAAATTATTTTGTATAAAAACCATTTAGTTTCATATCAAGGAAGCATGTAGTCATGTAATTTTTATTTTCTCACTCTTTGAAACTTGAAAAGTCAAGTTCAAAAAAAGTTCAGAACCACATGAAAGTTCAGAATGCTAACCAAGTTTTGAGTATATAAAATGTATTTGATTTTTAATTTTATAACAACTTCCACATATTTTATTCTATAGTAATACATCCAAAAATTAATTTTTACAAGTATTTGGGTATTGGCTATTCAAATTTTAAATTTTTGCGTCATGATAGTTATCCTATAATCACGTGCCTACACGCTTCCCCTTAAGTACAAATTAATAGAATAAGTTACATTTAAATTATATTTTAATCTTGTGTCTATTGAAAACAGGTTTCTACAATCCCACTTTCCGGTAATCGTGAGCGAGAATCGTGGAAGAAATCAATGTTCATTTTATTTTTATCTAAGTGAGAGAATTAGAACAGATGTTCATCGACGTTGAGGGTAAAATTGATTTGAGCGTTGGAGAATTTCGATTTATAATATAAATTTATAAATTCCAATTCGTAATACAAATATTCGGCTATTAACCTATTACAAAATTTCGAAATCACAAAAATCAAATTCTTATGATGTTTCATGTTAAAATCCAATTGCATTAGATATATATACTGTATTTTCATTTACCATATTAAGAATAACTGTTTAAAAATTTTCGAAATTAATTTATAAATTTCTTTAAGTAATTAATTGGACCTGATGCAGTGTAACTTTGAAATATATAATTCATCACACTAGTGTAATGAAATTTTTCGCCACCCGCTCGCGTGTATAAAAACACTAAAAGGGTCAAATGATATTCAACATTTCATAAAAAAAATTTATATTCACAGGTATTATAGAATTTTTCTTCTTTAAACCAAATTTCAATAATGTAGTCTTTTATTATTTTATAACCATGTTGAAAAGAGATACAAGGTTCACGTAATAGGTTAAAATGTATGAAGATAAAGAATTTTTTTGTTCATGAATTTCGGGAAATTGTATAATCATTGTGAATGATTGTTTAAACAATTATACAATTGTCATATTAACTTTATAATAATAATTTATATAAATAGAAATAAAATATTATGAAATATAAAAAATCACAAGCAGAAATCTTGTATTATATTCTAGTTTAGATAATTTAATCAAACAATCTGGTTTTACCCGCAAATATTTACTCAAAATTTTGATTTTCTCGTGAGTAATGGTTGATTACATGGTGAATTGACTAAGAAAATAATATATGTGAGCTTCTTAATTCAGGAAAAAAATAATTAGATACTAATAAAGGAAAATATTCCACATTACCCAAAGCTTGTGGACATGTTGAAACGCATCTAATTGGAAATTCGTTAAGATTTTTTAATACTGTTATAAGGTCGCATGAATGCAAATTTAACTAGTTCTTTACTTACAAATCAACGAGGTCTGCTGGTAGGCCACTACAACAATTGCTAATTTCCCCGGTGGCAACGTTCTGTGCTTGACAAGATACAATCATAGTACCTAGAGTTTCACAGTCAAGACAGGATGCATTGATCTTGCTCATGGTAATCGTTAAAAAAAGTAAAGTTCCTGCCAACAATTTAAAATTCATCTTGATAGTTTCTAATGAGATTGTCTTTGTTTCTATTATGTTGAAATTATTTTTGCTCTATATATAAGAAATATCTTCGAATATAACTAAGGTCTGGAACGCAGCGCGCTGCAGGGAGACATGTTTGGTTATAAAAAAAACCATTCAGTTTCATCTTTAACCTCAATACTTGCTAAATTAATAGAATAAATCATTCAGTTTCATGTTTAACCTCAATACGTGCTAAATTGATAGAATTAATATTTAAATCTTTTGTTACATTAAAACTTATTATACATTTTGGTATCGATCCGATCCAGATGTAGAATTACATACTAAATTATTTAATTATATTTTGAGCTTGTGTTTATTAACATCCCATTATTATTTATGTTCATGCAAATTAGGTATTGATCTGAATAATACACTATCATTATTCAGTTTCCAATTCTCACTTTCCAATAAATTATAATGTTCGTAGAAACTAATGTCATGTTTTATTTTATTTTTTTATCATAATAGAGAAATAGAACAGGCAGGCAATAACTTTAGGTAAAATCGATTTACGCGATGGAAATATTTAATTTTTTTCAATTTATAACACAAATATAAAATATATGTATCTTTCATCTACGTTACACGAATTAAATCTATTTGGCATCTGAAATGGTATGCAATGTATTACGCAATATTTTTCATGCAATGTCTAGATAGTGTCTAGATCCTTCGAAATTTAATTTTTTTTACTGTACGTATATTGTAATGTTTATTATAATTTAAACTAATTAATCTATTATATATAATAGATAACAAATAAAGTCATTCAGTCTTTCTTTAGTAGCATTGATGTAATTTTAGCTGAAAATTCCAACTGAAAGCAACCTCAAAATACTTGTTTTAATAAACTACTTCACACATATCTTTTTTGGCTTATAATTAGGCATTAAATACATCTATGTAAAGATTACTGACTTTGGATGATTTCCATCCACTTCGGTTACCCTGTAATCCATCTACCTGATAATAAAAATGAACTTCAAAAATAGATGCTATTGTGAATTGTACTATTCCAATTTTTGTCTTCAAATAGTGGTGTATGGTAAATATTAATATCAAAATGGCATAATGATAATATTTTTTATGACCTAAATCTGATTATTTCCTATATAATTATATAAATAAAGGTAAGTACTTGATATAAATATTTAATGCTTTATTGCAGCTATCTATAGTTTATTCAAATAAAAGATAACGAAAACACTATATCTTAATCTTCTCTTTGGAAGTACCGGTTTTTTATCAATTTCAGAATTGATGCCAAAATTACTTATATATTACATCAAGTTTAAACCAAACTGGATTATTAACCTGATTTATTTAATGTTTATTATTAAAAGTTTAATTAATTAATGTGTTTTATAAAATTTAGACTCAAATAAAAATTTTTCTTAGAATTACATTAAACCAGTTTGTAATTTAATAACTAATATAAATTTTTAATAATACATGTTTTTTATAATTGATTTATAATTTATAGTAATTGATCATAAAAAAAAAAAAATATTTTTTGTTATGTATTTTAAAAATATAATTATTTAACATAATGTTAAAAAAGTAATTATGATTTACATGCTACAATTGCTACATAATACGTGATTAAGATTTTATGACGTAATATTACGACATTATTCCTTTAGCATAGTGTGGAACAAAATTAGAAAGCAGTCCGCTGTGAACTTTGTGAAAATTTACAATTTCATTTATTCCGTAAAAAATAACAGCAAAAAAATACAAATGAATCAAATGTGGAATCTCGGAAAAAATCTTATAAGTAGAGTAAATTTCACAAAATATTTATATAAAGATGATAACATAAAAATGATAAAAATGCTAAAAAAAAAATCAACCGTGTAAAAAAATTTTTTACACGTAATTTTTTTTTTTCACAATAATAATAATAAATGTAGATATATACATATATACATATATATATTTACATAAAAATTTGTTACAAGGTTAAAATTTGAAATAAAAAAAATGAACTGACTGTAATAACTGTAATAACAATAACGTAGTAAGTAACTGATAGATAAAATAACAATAATAATAGTAGTAGTAGCTGATTATTAACATGCTAAACATGCTACTATTGTTGTTCTTTTTTCTCTTGCTACTATTGTTCTTCTTTTTTCTCTTTCTTCTTTTTCTACTCTTTCTTCTACCTGTCTACAAATGGGACATCCTTCCTTAATCCGAAAGTACCAATCGTGGTTGTCACAATAATTTTCGTGCTTTTTGCAAAAGGTTCTGTACGATTTTTTACAACGATGGCAATGATGTTTTTTACCAGGTTTAGGCATTTTGAACAAAAGTTTTTTCAAAAATTTTCGATTATTTTTTATTTTTATTTTTATTTTGTTTTGCGAATTTGATCAAATTGAATAAAGACTAAAAATTAAATGTGCGTTTTTATATCATATATATATTCCTGATATTTTTGTTAGTGGGAATAACTAAGCTGTAGTGGGTGTCATTTGATAGTCCAGCTGACCAGTTGTTTATAATGTTTTTGGCATATTTATGTTTCACATTAGGTAAGAAAACGTCTTGATACGGGAGAAAGATAAGAAAAATAACAATTAAATATGTAGAATATGTTACCTACCGTATGAAGTAATTATTTAATTGTTTACAGTTTTGTTCTTGAACCTTCTTTATAATAAAAATAGACTAAAACTATTACAGCTTTTAATCAAAACCATTATATCTATTAATCAAAACCATTATAGCTGTTAATCAAAGATCATTATAGCTATTAATCAATAAAGATTCTTTATAAGAATTCTCTTCAAGAAAGTAGTTGCAGATTTAATTTTTTCAATTTAATTATTCAAATAAACGCACTTTTCCAGAAATACACTTCTTTCGGAGAAAAAAAGAACAATCTGATATTTTTCTTATAAAAATATTTTATTGAATAGTAGAATTAGTCTCAAAGTAAATGAGTTTAAATACTCTATAAATTTATTACATAACAATGAAATTTACATAATTCAAAAATCAAATCGGAAATAATATCCCATAATCAACGCTTATTTGTGTTGTGTCCAATCACAGCTTTGTACAAGGACGGCAAGATCAACTTGTAATTTTTTAGTTATTTTTAGTGAAAAAAACTCGGAATTTCAAAATTTTTAATGATTTTTCAATTCGGTGTACATTGTAAGCGCAACCTGGGATAATCTATTAAGAATGTTCTTCAGTTTGACCGGTAAGGACTAAAGCAACACTAAAAGTCGCCAGCAATAAAGTACGCTAATTGTATCTATTTAACAAATCGAAAAAATCGATAAGAAAATGTTAAATGTGAATAGAACTTTTCCTTACAATTTATTATAACATTGGGAGTCATGGATTTCTTAAATAAAAGGTTAATTTATTACGCCAAAAAATTCTACATAATATTATGATACGCCTTAATACTGCAAAGCTATGATTTCCGTTCTACAGTTAATTATACTAATATACGTATTATTCACTAACTTCTTAATTACATAATTACATATAATTAATTAAATCATGGGCAAGTTATCTAATCAATTTTAAGCAGATATACGCCCATATGACTATTTAAAGAAATAATCTATCCACCTATAAGCATAGTAGCATAGTATTCCATAGGTAAACTATTGTTTATCTATTGATCCATTTTCATTACCAATTTTCTTGCAAAAAAAGTTCCTATAATTAGAATTATACCAAATGAACCAACTATTCCAAGAAACCATGCCAAATGATTATCTTCTTGACCGGGTACATGAACATTCATGCCAAATAATCCTATTTATTATAAGAAAAGATTTTTAAGTTTAGATAAAATAAATACATAATTATAATTATTTATTTAATACCTGTAATAACGTTCATTGGCAATAAAATGGTAGCAAAAACAGTCATTCTATTCAAAAAATCATTAGTCGTGTTACTCAATTGTGTAATTTCAATTGATATTTGGGCAAGATAATTTGAATGTGCACGCGATAACATATTTTCATAATGATTAAGATTTTGCAACATAGTAATAATATGATCTGAAATAAAGATAATAAAGATATAAAATTTAATAACAATTTTTTTGAAATCAAAAAAAAACTTCTCTCTTATTTACCTTGAATATCACCCAAATAAAGAGTTACATCTCCGGAACCACATTTATCACTTTCATTAACAAGTAATTTATCTTCAAATCTTTTAATTAGTCCTTTTATAACATCAACTTTTGTTCCCAACATTTTTAATAATGTCATAACCAGTTTACGGCATAATCCTATTCTCACCAACATATCTTGCTGTTCGGATTTTTTAAGTACCATAACGAGTTGATCAATTGCATCGGATTCAAATTCCACTTTTTGAATTAAAGGTGCGAAATAATCCGTAACATCATCCATTATGGCATAATTTATCCAATCTAATTTAAATAAGAAATTAATTTATATAAATATTATTACATATAATCTAAGTCATTATCTTAAAAATAAAACCGACCAGGTGTGAGTGTGATGAAATCTTTCAAATATTGTATTCTTTTCCTAACGTTATGCTGATGTGGCGTTGGTTGAAAATGAAACTAAAAAATAAAATTTAAAAATTTTAAAAATTATAAATATATTAAAAATCCCATTTCTCCAAAATACTCACTGTTAAAATTCCTTCTCTCATGACAACATTATACATATTAATAGGCTCAATATCAGGCGTATTAAAATTATTATCATGAGATCTAAAACTAACAAAATAATAATTCTTGAAGAGTTCACATTTTTCACGCGATTCTTCTGTCTCAATATCTTCCATTGTCAGCGGATGAATACGAAAAATCTAAAGAAATTAAAGAAATTAAAGATATTAATAAAAAAAAAAAATTTTGTATAATTATCCCAACAAAAGACAAAATGACACACCGAACTTAAAATTCTCATTTCAGTTTCAGTTGGTGCAAGAACGTCAAGCCAAAAAATTCCTTGTTTTAATAATTCGGCCATTGTTTTACCTTCAGGTGGAATTGTTGCAAATGATTTTGCTTTTATGGTTCCTGTTGCTATAGAATAAAAAACGAATCGAGATTCTTCTTTCACATCGCTAATACTCTTATGAAAAAAAAAAGAATTAAATCAGTATAAATTCATGACGAGATGAGTCATTTAAAAAATTCAGAATTAAATTGTGGACAATCACTCTTTTTCTTTCACCAAATTCACTAATTCTTCTTTTTGATTCACCATCAATAGGCGAAGGTAATAAATGATAATTTCCGTCATCTTTTTTCGCTGAAGTTTTTTCTTCTGTAATATATTCTTCTAATGCATCATAATCTATTCCATCACCTTTGTTAGCGGTTCTTAATGGATAACAAACATCTTCTTCGACACTAGAAAGTTTTCTGGTCATATTATAAGAAGTAGGTTGATCTCCCTCATCCCAAATTGACTCGTCATCTCCAACCGTTGAATCATTACTTATTTGAACTACATGATCACAAGTTGATAAATGAAGTTTTTGTTTTTCGTTATTTGCTGTTAAAGAACCAGGTTTATGAGTTGGGGGCTTCGAAATTTCTTTTTCGGATTTCTCAGCAGCAGGCTCTTGTTCTTTTTCAATTTGTGATTGCTGTGATGGGGGTAGTGGGGATGGAACTCGTTTAGTGTTTTCCGGAGTACTATTATTTTGTTCTACACCCGACATGATTAAATAACGACAACTTTTTTGTATATTAAAATATTTTTATTGAAACTAGTTTTTAAATTTTTTATCGGGATTCGATTTATCATAATTTTTTATGTTTATCATGTTTATCAATAAAAAGATAAAGTTTATTGGCTATATTTTTTTCTTGGCATTTAAACTATAAATAAGTTATTCGATTCCATGTGTGTTCCATGTGTGTGGTAGGTCAATTTACTGGATTTGTACTACTCTACAAATACTACGAGTACGATAAAGTACGATAATCAATCTTCTTCCATTCTATCGCCGCTATGATCTTCAGTGTTTTCATCCTCGTGATCTCTGTGTCGCCTATTCGCTTGTTCCTGAATGGCACGGAGGAATGCTTCGACTCCTGAATATAATAAATATTAATCATGGGCGGCTATTTATTTATTTTTATTTAATCAAAGAAATCTTACCATTGCCGGCTGATGGATCTAAACCTAATTGAGACAGCAAAGGTCCTAATTGGCCAGATTGCAAGGCGATGCTTAAAGACTGTAATGCCTACACGTCACATAGAAAATAATAAATAAAGTAATGACTATTTCCTATTTAGGTTATTAAAGAATTACCTGTGCAAACTGCGGACTTTGAATAACAGCGGCTAATTCTTCAGGTGATCTTTCAATGTTGGCAGGCAGGTGAGGAAATAAAGCTAATATCCAATCAAAATATGTATAAAATAAATTTATATTTAAAAAAAAAATGAAATTTTTCTGCATACCCGAAGCTATCTCTGGGTTATTTAATAAGGGTCCAATGGCACTGGGCGTGAGAACATCAACCAGGCTTACATCTATAAGTCAATAAAAAGGAATAAAAAATATTTTTTTTTTTTTAAAAAAAAAAAGAATTTCTTTTTTATAGGAATAATCTTACCAGGTTGTCTTGTTCCCTCTATTAAAGGTAAGAAAATATATTTTAATTTTCGAAAATCATACTAAATTTCCTAACCTTCTATTTCAATATAAGTACCTGGAACTTGTATACCAGACAAAATATTTCTCAAGTTGCCTAATTGTTCAGAAGTAAAACCGAGATTTGATTCTGTAGTTTGTACTCCAGAACCAGCTTCTGATGTTGCAGCTGTTGCAGATTGTGGCTCGGCAGGAGTAGTTGACGTGAAAGGAGGTCCACTTATAATATAATTATTATTAATTAATATACAGTGCAAAAAAAATCCTGGAATTGATAATACTTACCCGAATCCTTGACCTTGGAGTAATTGCAATAATTGTTCTTGATCCATTCCGAATCCTGCTAAATCGTCCATGTTTTGCATGTTTTGAAAAGGGCTACCTAATTGACCCGCACTACTTTGTTGTTGTCTGCTTTCTGCTAATCCGGCTTGTGGATCATTAATTAATCGATTAACTTTTGCAACATTTTCTTCATCCTTGTCATCTTTCGCATCTTGCATCCAAAAAAATAGTTTGCGGGAAGATGATTTAAAATTAAGTAAATACACGCGACCAGTTGTACATTGTTCTACTCGAATAAATTCAGCTTCTTCGGGAAAGAGAATCAAATCCTAAATTAATTATTTTTAATTAAAAACGAAATTCGTAGGATTAAACTTTTATTCTATATAATAATGTTCTTACATCTTCTACAGCATTGTTTTTCCTATCTTTCCAATAGAAATGCATCAGTTGATCGTCACCCTTTTCAATAAAAAAATATTACATAGTTGTTAATATATAAATATGAGTTTTTGTATGGTAAGACTAACAGAGAAAAAGAGAATAGTACCTGGTCCATATATACGAGCCTATAACGCGTGAAAAGAAAAAAAACGTGTAAAATGTTAACAATATTTCATGCTAACTCACAACAGTTTACGTCTCACCCTTTTCTTTCGTCGGCTTTCAACCAATTTGTATTTCCATCTCGTTTAAGTTTCCCGGCTTTGAATTCGACAGGATATTTTCTTCGAGGTACAGGTGTAGGAAAAAGAGAGGTGGCCATATTCGGTTTTATTAATAAAATAGAATAAAAATTCGGAGTCGATTATTTTAACTTCGAAAAAAAATTCCACGTGATGATCGTGAATTCGGTGACTCAATCGTATTACAGAATTTAAAGAATTTAATATTATCAAATTATCAATTATAAAAATTTTTTTTAATATATATACCAATAGTTAAAATATTTTTTAAATTTTTTTAGAAGGTAAAATACTGATTATAAATCTATCATTTTTTTATTAAGGCATCTATTGTATCTATTCTATTCAGTTAAATCTATGTTGATATTGCCGACACATGCTGCAATTAAATAATATATTCCATTTCTATTTTTAATCTTAATAGATTTACGAACTTATTCTGATTTTTAGTTTTTTTTTCAATTGCATATCCACATCTTCTGGCACAACTAATTAATTCGCGCAAAATATTAAAAATATATATATTATAACTCTCGTGTAAGTTTATATCGCCGTGACACAATTGTAGAATCGTGACTTGTCATATATTTCCATTGTTCTAATCAATGGTGTAAGTAAAAATAGTTTATGCTAAATGTAAAAAAATATACTTAAATTTTGTAATTGATAATGACTTGAAAAAATTATAGGTAATACTCTTAACTTCTGTTGTTATCGGATCATACATCTAGCTCCGCTTAAATTATTCCATTCAATTTGACTCATTTACCCACATCAACTCCATCAGCTAATTATTAAAATTTTTTATTATTCTTGAAAAAAATAGTTTTCTATAAGTACACAAATGTGTATGTACTTTATTTTCTAACAATTTCTTATTATGTTTCGAATTAAAAAGAAGAATAAAATAATCATTTTTTTGCTACATAAGCACAATTAAAAAAAAAATATTAATAAAAAATGGTAAAATTGTTTTACGCACCATTTCAAATTTACATATCCCCCGATTTCACATAAAAAAAATGTTCTTGATTTTCTTGATTTTCAAACTTCAAATTTCGAAATTCCAATTTTATTACTTTCGACATTTTCGACTTGAATCATGCATACCATGAACACCAAAAATTTTAGCAGCTATCATTTCTTCTATCCAATCAATATTTCCACAACCTACAACACGTTGCATGTTTTCTGTATTCTTTAGTTCATCCCACCTTGTCGTTAAAAATACCAAAGAAGCAGACTTCAGACATGTGTCACCCATTTGCCATCCCAACAACAGGATTTCATCCCAATTATCGGCATTTACATCTTCAGCGATTCGAATAGCAAGTAACTTTCCAAATGCTTCTAAACCAAGCATATCTGCTTTCATATAGGCAGCCTTAAAAGTATCCAATTCCAGATTCTCTTCTAATTTTCCTGTGTAAAGATAATACATTACACACCTAAAAATTTCATAATCGATTTCCTTTATCGGAATTGTTTTATTCCGGCCTTCAACCCATTGTCCACTTAACAAAGATTCAAAATATTTCGATTGTGACGCTAAAATTATACGATGTGCTCTAATCCTTGACCCACATGTAAAAGTAAATTCAACATCACAAAAACGTTCATCATCAAAATATCGAGGAATTTGAGCAGCTAAAGGGAATTCTACGTGAGGCACATCTAAAGCTGCTGCTAACAAAGCTGCATTTTCTTCGTTAGTGATACGAACTCTCACTATTAAATCAAATTTGCTTGTTGGATCTGGATAAACTTCAGATAATTTTAAAAATTGCCTTCGTCCAAACACTTGATCAGATCCAAATCCAAATCTTGTCTTCGAAAATTTTTCATTTTTCAATAAAACAGGAGTTGGAGCAACAGCCGAACCTAACGACGTTGGAGATTCTAAACGATATACTTCAAATGCATAAGTTCGTTCCCTTCCAGAAGAATTTCCATCTCTTTCATGATCTGTTGGAATAGCCTTCAAAAATAATCCCAAATAGTTATTATCATTTGGAGAAACTCCATTCGGATACATGCACATTCGCCATAAATATTCCGATGAATCTAATCCAACACCTTTTAGCTGAACTTGATTTGGTTCAGCAAAACTATCACTATAAAACCATCTTCCAGTCGGATATAGATCTGCTATCTCATGATAATCTTTAACCCTCCAAGTAAAAGTAAATTGGTCAGGTGTAGCTAACTTTACATTTTGATCGGGCTGCTCTGCTACTTGGCGACTTGGCTGAAAAAGCCATTTCATGCTCATATTGTCTTTATGTTTTTCGGGGTGATTTCGTAGGGGTGGAATTTTGGTAGTTTTATTGTTGGTAAATGAAAGTGTGATTTTCGCGAAGACGGCTGTGTAAATTTAAAAAGTATTATTTACTTTTAAAAACCCGGACCACGAAAAGTATATTCTTAAAGAAAAAAGAATCAAAAGTGAATAGTATAATAACCATACAAAAAATACCTCCTCCTCAAAAAGTCAGAAAGTTGGAATTCCTCAAATTTTTATTTGTATTTATTGACTAAACAATAAAACGAGCATAGAGCAGTATTTAATTTTGAATATGCTAAGATGAATATACGTTTTTAATTTTTTTTGCATAAATATATTTTGTGAACCCAGTTTATACTTATAACATACTTATACTGTGTACAAATTATATGTATCTATCGATCAACATATGTATCGATCAACAATTTAACAATTCAAAAACATTTTTTTTTTTAGTTCTACCACGTGACTAATTTTCATATGTTAAACATGTTAACATTTATAATCAATTAATTGAAATCAAATAAAAAAAAAAAAAATTTTTACATTTATTTATAAATATGAAATAACTTTAAATAATTTTATGGTTTTGCATTCGGGAACTTTTTTTTTTAAGATGATTTGAAAATCTCGCACACCGCTTAATAAATAATATTTAAGGAAATATTTTCCAAAAATTGATGCTCGCAAAGTGGCAAGCATCTTATAAGGGGTTGATAGGTTGTCGGCAGAAGTACTCTCGGATGGGACCTCATTGAGCACTTTGCTCCCCCCTCGATAAGGACTGAAGAGGTAATTTGAGAATTTGGGTTAGTATTTATATTAATGAGGTTAGTTATGGGATTGTTATGATGATCTTTTAAAAGGTCATAAGTTAAGGATAACGAATTAAAATGTTTGAAGACAGCGAATCCAAATACAAATTCTTCTCAAATTCCTTTGAAAAGCCGTATTTGGAATTATTGAATCCATAAAATTTTTCTGAGTCCGGGCCATTTTTTCAATAGCTATTTCGTTAATAAGCTAAAGCTCGGTATATCGGACTGTTTTTAATTAAGAAACTAGGAATTAAGGTTGAATAGATTAAGAATTGTTGTAAATATAAGATTATGGGATACTGTATTACAATCGGTACGATTTTACTGCGGAGGCGCAGGGAATCAAACTTTTGTTTGATTTTGCCTAAAAGAGTGAGAATTTTAAATAATTCCTTCAAAAAAAAAAGAAAGAATTTTGTTCTTTAACACAATGAACATTCTAAAACAGGGAAATTTTCACAATTACGCAAATTTGTTCAAATATCGATTAGTTTTTTAAAAAAAAACACAATACATAGCTTTTTTCTGAAAAAAAAAGGTTAAAAGTCAGAGTAAAATTGAAGAAAAATGGCAATTTCTAATCACGATAAAGGTGAAACGGATCAAACGTTTTCATCCACTTTTTCGACGTCAAATATGAACTTTTCACTTGAAAACAATTCAAAAGGTGCTAATAAAATTCGTGAAATAGTACCAGTCGTTCCAATAACTGAAAAACAAAATGAGAATGCAAACGCATGGTACTCAAAATTTGATACTGCCTGGTATTTTTCAACTGTAAATGACAGTAAGCCCATTGTCAAAGTCCTTGAAAAAAAAGTGATTGATTCAGAAAGATCAAAAACAAACAAGATTTCTAAACCTGAGCAAAACGATGTCGGAATAAAAAATAAAATGGATATGAAAACAAAATTAAATGAATCACCAAAAGAGCCGAAACGATTCAAACGATCTAAACGAGGACGGTATTTATTTTCTAATGACGTTAGTGACGAATTTCAGAGTCAAGATGATATTATTCCCAATAAAGAAAGAGAAAATAATACACAGACAATTATTCGTAAAGGAACTCCTATTATCATTCGTACAAGGCCGCCTAACATTCCAAGTGATTCAAATTCTGAAAATATATTTCATATTCCAATATATTATGAAAGTCATCACTTGAATCCAAAAAAATTCTGGTCATGGAAAAAACCTATTCCATTTCAGAATGTTGAAAATAATGTGAACTTTGATGATTTATTTATAGATCAAAAAGATTATGAGATCTCTGTTAGAACAAAATTTACACAATGTACTTTATTATTTATTTTATTCATTCAATTTATTATTTTATTACGCAATGAGATATATAGCCTTGCTATAGTGGTTTTAATCGTAATTTGGCTCATTCTATTCTATTTTGTAGTTCATAGCTGTTTCGAAGTTAAAAATTCTTTGATCAGTTAATACTTTTAAAATATTTATTATTATCTAATTAAATAGTCTACAATCATAATGTATAGATTTCTGTGGTTTGGCCATTACTAATTAAAGTTGAGGGTACGACAAACATTAATCATGTGATCAATTGATTTTTATGTGATCCGCAGTTGTTTGATTCGTTTGATTCTCTCTGGGTTTAGCATGACTTCAACGTTGGAAAGCGGAAATCAAAAACGTAAAACTAAAGTCTTCAATAATGACGCGAAAGTTCAGCGGTATTCTACCCGGAAGAAGCCAAATAAATTAACAACAAAGCAGAAACTGGTTAGGCAAAATCTCGAAAATCGCAAAAAATTTGATCAATTATGCTTAGTCTGGCAAGAAAAGTTGTTCGAAACTATAGACATAGATGTTTTGCGCGAATCAGTATTTATTCTTTTATTCTTTAAATAAATGTTGAATTTATAGATTATTGTTCTGAATTTTTATGTTATTTATAGGCAAAGTACTTGTCGCCGCAACATTATTTTGAAATCGTTGAAGAAAGAAATGCAGACAACTTGTGTGGGTACCCGATTTGTAATAACAATCGTCAAGTATATAAGTTTTATCGCTTTCTCTATTTAATTTCTTCATTTTGAAAATACGAAAAAGTGACAAATTGATTCGTTGGTGTGTATATATATACTTTTAACATAGAAAATTCAAGGGCAATTTCGAATCTCTAACCGATCAAGAAAGATTTATGATATCACCGAGTTAAAATGTTATTGCTCAACTATTTGTTTTACATCGTCCAAGTTTTTTGCGACGCAATTATCCGAGGAACCTGTGTATATGAGAAATTTGGAAAATTGGAAATCAGTTAATGTTATACCGTTGGGTGTAGATATAAGGTAAGAAAATTATAGCCTTTTTTTTGTGTTTATATATTTTAATTTTGTATTCTTTGTAGGGAAATCATTAAAAACGAAAATTCTTCTGGTAAATCGCGAAATAAAGAGGACAGTAGATCAAATTATGTTAAGGAGATGTTAGCTAATCTTCCACCTGCTCCTCCCGGATTAACTATAAAGGAAAAAGACGATAATGAAATTGAAGTGCCATCCGTACCAACTTCAACTAACGATACTAATGCACATGATGCTATTGAGGGATTTCGTATAGATTTTCAGAAATTGTCGATTTCAGATAGTAATGATAGTAATAACAAGCCGACAACATTAGTATTATCAAAGGAAAAGCAAGCTACTAAGGATGATGATATACCAAAAACTGATGAGGAGGCCTATGAAATGGCAATGTCATTAGCAAATTCCATGTTTCGTAATGGAAAATTTCATTACAAAGATAATGAAGAGAATGAAAATGATCCAGTTGATTTATTATCAAAATCAACTTCAGTAAGGACAAATGATTCAGTTAAAAAAAGTAAAAAGTTGGTTAAACAGCTTCAACCAACTTCTATTGAATTTAAAGATCCTTTAGATGATTATTCATCTAAAAGTTCTCGGCCAGCTAATGATATCAATGCATCACTACAGCTACCACGTGAAAAAGAAGCTCATAAAAAGAAAAGGATTGTGTTGCAAATGTCATTATTTGGAAAAATATGGACAGCATTGGATAGAATGTCCACGCCAAATACAAGGCAATATTTTAAGAGTATAAATAATGGACAATTCAAAAAAGGCAATGATTCGGCAATGCGGCGCATACCTATAACGGACGACGAGAATATGTTAATGAGAATTCAAATTTTCTCCGAAAAAATAATTGAATGGTTCGTAATCGAAAATTTCAAAATGTTATTAGTATTTATCCAGCCTAATTTTTAACTTTATCATCAGTTTTCATATTCTTAGAAAACCTCTTTCCATTACTACCAGCATAGAACGTGAACTTATTGATTTAATGTGTACCTTTACATTTGACACTGCAACAGTTGTACTTAATGATTTAGAGAACAATGTGCTATGTATGGTATTTTTATACGCGTAAGTAAGAAGTTATGTTTCATTATAATCAGTAATGTTTTCGTATAAGATTTAATTCCTACATTAATAAAATGTTTTAGGTTATCAATGGATATCCCTGAGCTGCATAGAAATATCTTTCCCGAAAATTCACCAGACGTAGAATGTCAATTTAAAACTATACTTGAAAGCATGAATCTTACGATGGAAGAATTAAATGCATTTGTAAGAGTGCTTCGTGTTGGTCCAGTCTAGTCTAAGTTACTTTAATTATATAATTAAATAGTTATTTTATTATTTATTTATTTGTATTTGTTTCTACTTACTAGTCATAAGTTTTTTTCAATTAAGAACTACTTTGATGAGTAAAAATCATACAAAATTATATTTGTAATTTACTAAAATAAAAACTTTTTATTTTTATTTTTTTGCAAATATATCCGCAATAATTAAAACATTGGAAAATTAATCGATTTCATTGCAACTTCGACGACTTGATTCCAGCTAGCTTCTTTAGATTCTTGAGTGATAATAAATTCTGTTATTTTTTGAATCAGTTCATTAGTTTGCATAATTTCATCGTGCTTTCCTTTTAAAGAAGTTTCAATTTCAACAACTCCACCAGAATTTTTGATATGTTTGAAATAATTATTTGATTGATCAATACCAACGAGTTCATCATCTAAACTATGAATTATCAGATAAGGAGGAATTTTTGTATTAAATGAAATATATTGTGGTGAAACAGATTTAAGAATATTTTTATCGTTACCAAAAGCTGGTTCAACAAATTTAATGTATTCAGGATAAGATTCTAATAAGTTTATGAGATCATAAATTCCTTCTACACCAATAACACCACGAATTTTTCCTAATAAATTAGGATCGTAAGAATTAAGATATTCTGAATTAAGTACAAGTTGACCGGAAATAAAAGCTCCTGCGCTATTACCAACAAGATATATTCTATCATCAAGATATCCATATTCTTTTGCGTATGAAGATACCCAAGAAATAGCCGCTGCAACATCTTGTACATGCAAAGGATTTTTTATTTCAGGTGTATCTATTGTTGTAAGTCTATAATTTACTATTGCAACAGCGTAATAAAGTGATAGTTTTCGACCAAGTTCCGTAAATTCATTCTTATCACCAGAACGCCAAGCTCCTCCATGAATAATTACTACAACAGGAGGATAACATTCTATTTCAGTTGATGTTGAAGGCGGAGGAAGATATAAATCAAGTTTTTGTAATGGATGCTCTGAAGAAGTATAAGAAAGTTCCTTATGAACTATCAGAGATTTATTAATCGACATGCTCAAACTAAACTGCAAAGGATCTACTTCAGAATTAATGATCAACTAACCGAACCATAGGTCGGCGATAAAAACACCAACTGATTGGTCGGGTTAATAGTTTATCACGATCAATCAATAATCTGCTCAAAATTGAACTTTTGTGATCAAAATTGCAATCGACCAATTCCTGAAGTAGACCAATTTGTTGGTCCGGAGTGTAATGAAGGACTATTTATTTGTACGCAAAGGGTTCACAAAGGTTGTCATCCGCCCGCTCAAGAGTCGATACGTGGTTACATCTGTGAACCCTAAATTTATCTGATTGCCAAAATCATAAATTTTCATTCCTTGGCATTACGATTACTTTTCACGATCTAATAATTTTGCTCTAAGTTTTGGCAGAATTTTGAGATTATTTTGGCCGGTTTCGGAATTTGAGATTTTGGCATTTGAACAGTTAATGAGGAGGTATTGGCAAGCAGTTTTTCATACCATAAATATAGCATTAGCGCGATTTTGATTTTAAAACTCACTATAATCATAGTAATTAATATAATTTAAGAAGTCATCTTTTAAAAAAAATTTTTACAATGAAATAATAACGTTGTCAAGAATCTACTCTTCTTTCAATAACATCTATTGCTTCTTTAGGTGTTAAATGATATACTCCAAAATTCTCTAACATTTTAGGAATCGCTATAGGTTCTAATTCATCATCAGATAACATGGAGATTACTTGAGACAATGTCCTTTGTTGTGACTTGTCATCGGACTTACTCTCTATTTTGGAATGATTTGCAGGAAGAGTAAGTAAAATACAAGCGTCTTTCAACCTAACAGAATAAAAAAAAAATTCTTTAGATATATTTTACGAAGTTTCAACATAGAGTTAATCTTGTAATATACCTTCTAAAATAATTTTCAGGTTTACGAATCCATCTTTTTCCAATAGTAAATAATCCTTTTTCCATATCAACTTCAAACTGACATCCACCCATTTCAGAGAAGTGTTTTTTCATCAAGATACGATCCCATAAATAATCTTCCAATTCTTTTGATACATCCTTATATATATGTTTAAATATACGATCAGGTAAATTATTAGACAAGAATGTAAGAGAATGCGCAAGATCTGATAATGGTGTATAAAGCTCTGGTGATAATTCAATGGTTGATCGAGATGTAGTATCCTTTGATTGATTATTCAATTTAGGTATTTGTTGGCGTGTAAAATCATTATTGTATATATCGGACCTTGACCAATTATTTCTATTGTAAATTAAAAGTATTTAGAATATGAAATGAAACAGATACACGAAATCCCAAACTAAATTCTAGATTTCAGCAATGGTTTGAGATTTCGACAATAGTTTGAAATCAAATTGCCAAAACCTTAGACTATTGCCAAGATCCCAAATGGTTACCAAAATTCAAAACTGTTGCCAAAATTCCAATCCATTGCTGAAATTACAGACCATTGTTGAAACTTAAAATTGGGTGCCGAAATCACCGTGTAGCAAAGGTATCTCGGTTCTTGGAAGATGATAATTGCTGAAATCCCAAATCCAAAATCCCAAACTGTTGCCAAACCATTACCGAAATTCAACTCTAAGATTTGATTTGGGATTTCGGCAAGAGTTTTGACATTTGCTATAGCCGAAATATTTCGGCACCCAACTCTAATTATTACAAATATAAATATGTTATACATACTTTTTGACATATGCTTTCAATCCATTAAAAAATTCTCGGGAAACGTTTTTTACTATTAATGACTGAATTCGCTCACAAATATTATCAAACAATTCAGCTGGATCATCGAAAACCGTTCCTTCATCGACAGTAATTGCTCCGTCTACATTTACCGAAGACGTAACTTGGCCTTGTTCTGTGGAACTAATAGATGATGTTGGAGATGGTAAAGGTGACGCGCCCGTATTATGTGCGGCTGCGCCTATATTACCCGTATTACCCGTATTGCCTGTATTGCGTGCAGCACGAACGGTAACTTCATGCCAAAGTTCAAGAAAAAACTACATTGATTTTAAAATTAAAAATAAGGAATTTATATAATTAGAAGAAATTTATAAAGTAACAACAATAATAATAACATTCTGGGTTTAAAATATTTACCGAATCCTCACCCCATTCTTTGATTGTTCGACTGACAAAACCTGCACTACTTAGCCATCGACATAACCTTTTCAATCCCTCAACTCCCGTGATGTCTGTAGCTGCAACATTCGGAACAGCTCTTACAATTGAATAACTCAAATTTCCAAAAGAGTCAACAGCCGAATCAATTCTTTTAGAATAGGCAACTAATAATTCAGCTTGTATGGCAATTAGAAAACGAATCCGATTATGAAACAAGGGCAATAGTTTATAACGACCTAATGAAAATACAACATGTTACTAACAAAAAATTTTACTGCAGAAACTCAAAAGGAAACATTATTAATGATACCAACTAGTTACAAGCTCCAAAAGATTAATTAATTTTGCTGCCGATTTAGTTGGCTTATATTCGTCATCAGGAAATTCTTCATCAACCATTTCCCATACGTCTTCTGAGTGCATAATTTCATTATAACGTGCCTCCGCAACTTTTTTTTTTTTAAAAAAAGTATTTAGCCACAAGATACGTATGATTTTGTCATCAAAACACTTATATACATACAGGTCTTTTCAACCTTTAACCATGCTTTAAACCATTCCTTCTTCCCAGTAAACACCTCAACACATCCCCCCCATTCATCTTGTCCAGGAGGAGTATACATATGCAATTCACGTAAAGTTTGGTCAAATTGTAATGTTTCAAACACTGTGTGTGAAAATATTTGCGGAGAATTCAATAATGTTGGCACACTGTTATTTAATTTTCTGGTGACAGCTACAAGCAGACATCGGATAAATTCATTCTTAAATAACAAATAATCAAATTAATTGGAATTATTTATAAATGAAAATACGAAAAGAAAATTTCAAATGTACTTTAGCGTGATATTTCTCAAAACCTGCATCATCAACGATAGCCTGCACTGCACCAGTCAAGAATGGCGAATGTTCGCGTATAGTAGTGATAACATGACTAAAATACCACTCGGGCTAAATTTATTTTGTAAAACAAATTAAGTGATTCCATATTGACAATATATTTGCGCTGTATTTATTTACCTTATCAATTCTATTAGTAGGTCTTTTGGAATCAAAATGATACCTGAACCGGACTATCAAAGGCTCAACCATTATCTGCATTGGCAAAAGTGGCGGAAGAAGTACATTATCTTCCTTAGAATTTTTAGATTCTAAAGGTTTTGACACTTCTTCAACGTCAGCTGGTCGTTGTAATAACAATAACTCAGTAAATGCTTTTCTAAATGCAGAAAATTTATCAGTCGTATTAGGTGGGTAAGGAACTTTAATTGGTGTTGGCCAATTAAATGCATCGAGTGTCTGTTTAAATTTTCTAAAGTGAATAATACGTTATTTAATAATAACAATAAACTAGAAGTAAAGAAAAAATACATAAATATAGTTAACTTTGTCAGTCTATTTTTCATATCTTCCCATAACGTGTCAACGCATTGTTGTAAATATGTATCTAAATGACTAACTGCATGACCTGCTTCCTTACTATTAGATTTGATATTACGCGCTAGATGTGCAAGTTGTGTGTATGGTACAAGAGATTTTTGTGGCGATTTTTCAATTAATTGCTTTGCATTTGTACTATAAAATATAATGATTTATCAATAATAATTTATAACTTGATCTAATGTATTAAAACGATATAACACCTCAATTCATCTGCAACCACTAAAACTTTGAGGTATTGCTTAGATCTTTCCAAACTATCAACTTGTTGCTGTAATTTAACCAATTTTTTCATTAGCGTTTCGTTCTCTGAATCTTCTATCGGCTTTTCAGAAACTACAATACTACAATGATCCGCTAATGCATCTTCTAATTCCATTCGCGTAGCTTGTAAATTTTCAAGTTCATTAACTGTAACATTAAAAGAATCAAGTGCTTGCTGAAGTACTTTCGAAGTTTTTGCTTGCGTTTGAATGCGCTAAAGTATAAATTGAAGCCATAATCAATAATTTGAATAAAATAACTTTTGTTCGACTGCTCGATCTCTAATAACCTTTTCGTTCTGAGATTGTTCGTTTTCTTTCAGCTCAACCAAAGTTGAGTTCAAATTCTCTAGATCTTCTAACTCTCTAAAATGTGAATTAAGAAAATCAACGACATTTTCCGTTGCGTTCTCGTCGAGATCTCTTATAAGAACTTCGGGATCGTAAGAATCAGTAGAAGGCATTTGTATTATGTAAAGGGTTAGATTGATCGCTTAATTAAAACAATCACGGAATTTGACGGGAAACTCCTGGATTATATTGTATCGATCGTCAACGACGGTTTTTGTGCAACAAATTTTTCCTAAAATTAACATATGATCGCAATCGGTTTCCTTTAAGCTAATTTACTTGGCGCGTCTTAGTTTCAAGACACTCAAAACGAGCAGAGATCTGATGTCGGCAACATTTGCACACCCTAAACGAACCTCAATTTCACACCGACGCGAAAAATCGGTTCCACATGAGGTTAAGGAAACTTTAGATGCAGTTGTAACTGAAACTCAAGATGGAGATCGTTGTTTAAACAACTATGTTTTAAAAGAAGTAATTGGACATGGCGCTTTCGGTACAGTGATTTTAGCTTATGATAAAAATACTAAAACGAAATATGTAGGTTTACGCTATAATTTACACTATTTAAACTGAAGGAAGTATAAGAATTCGATGCAGTTTAAGTGAAAATTTCTAATGAATGCTATTTTTTTTATTTTCGATATCACACGGGGCTGTAAAAAAATATATTTACACTTGTTAATTATTTATTAAATAATAAATATAGAAAAAATACGAAAGAAATATTTTCATTACAAATTATTATTTATTTTTATTATAATTCGTATATAGGCTATCAAAGAGTTCAGCAAATCACGTCTTCGTAAAAGAGACAAAGCAAATTACTTTCGTCGTCCACGTGGCGGCTTGCGAGGAGCTCGAGGTCGAGGAGGGGTATCGAGAAGCAACACAACCGACCATATAACGGATCCACTACATTTAATTCGTGGTGAAGTTGCTGTCTTAAAAAAGTTGAATCATGTTAATGTGGTAAAATTATTCGAAGTATTGGATGATCCAAGTAATGATTCTCTTTATATGGGTAAATGTTTAATAAAGTTTCTAGTATATAATTTATAAGATAACCGACTTATAATATTTTTCTTTCTTAGTGTTTGAAATGTGTGAAAATGGTGTCCTTATGGATATCAGTGTTAATAAGAAAATAACCCCATTTCCCGAAGATAAAATGAGGCTTTATTTCAGAGAAATGATACTCGGATTTGAATATTGTAAATATAATTTCGTGATTTATCTTTTTAAAAAGTTATTTAAATTATTAAATAAATCTTTAAAAAATATTAGTGCATAATAATGGAATTGTTCACCGTGGTAAATATGAGTAATTTGCTTTATTTAACATTATTGTCTCTATTATGTAATGTTTGAAATTATTTACTATTTAAATGTCTTTTATTTAGATATTAAGCCGGACAATCTTTTATTATCAAAAGATGAAGTACTTAAAATTGTAGATTTCGGTGTGTCTGAAATGTTTGTCAAGGGAAATGATAAAATGAAGAAATCTGCCGGTAGTCCGGCCTTCATGGCACCGGTAAATTATATATATTTTATTTACAATTTATAGAAATGTTTCATAGCTAATAATAGTTTAATTTCTTATTTGACGATAGGAACTTTGTGTAGGTGAGATATAACAAATAATATTTGATATTAAATATATTCTTTATTAATCTATAAATTTATTATATAGCTCATCATGGTGAAATATCTGGACAAGCTGCAGACATCTGGTCTATGGGAGTAACTTTGTACTGTCTTGCCTTTGGGTGTTTGCCTTTCGAGAAGGATAACTTGCTTGAATTATATGAATCAATAAAAAACGACGAGTAAGCTTTATATATTACGAAAGAATTCACTTTATAATAACTAACTACACTTATTCGCGTCACGAATAGATTTAATATCCCAGAAGGAACAGATCCCGATTTAAAAGATCTTTTTCATAAGGTTCTTGAGAAAGATCCAGCGAAAAGGATTACAATGCAAGAGCTTCGTGTGCGTTTACTTTAAATTACAGAAATAAATCTATATATATATGCTTTATTTATTTCGTTTACAAACAGGTACATCCGTGGGTAACTGAGAAGGGAACTGATCAACTCATATCTACCGAAGTAAATTGTACCGATATGGTTACTGACATTACAGACGATGAATTGAGATCTGCCATCAAAACAATTAGTATGGGTACTGCCATTGCCGTGGTATGATTATTTGAATTCAATGTCAAAAAATTTTTTTTTATAACAATTAATTCAAACTTTAAATCCTTAAGATTGTTGCTGGTAATAAATGGAGGAGAATTTCCAAATCACATCAACATATGTCATCAGCGGATTTGGAAAAATTCAAAGCAATGGGTATTGCCGATGAAATAAATAAAAAAAATAACAAAAATAATAAAGAAAGTAATGAAGAAAATAGTGAAAAAAATAATGAAGAAAATAACGACGAAAAGAAAAATATTGATAGAAACGAAGTTACAGTTGCTACAGAATAACCTAAAAATCAAATTTTTATTAATCAAGACAAAACATGTTAAAGCTTTAAAATTTGATTAGTCATTTTTTTATTTTTTTTTATTTATTTTTTTTTTTTTCAAAAAAAAAAAAAATTATTCTTTAAATATAGGGATATTTAGTAGTAATACAAGAATACTTTATTATATATTTTTATTTAATTATACTTGGTTTACATTTTTCTTCAAAAGTTTTTTTATTTATTAGTTTGAGTCAATTTTCCACGTTAAAGTTTTTCCAGCCCAGAATGGAATAACAATCCCGGATTTTTCTTTCTGTGTATTACCAAATTGGTACGCGTTTGGAACTAACCAATTTTCATTGATTAATTTAATTTCACGACATTTCTCCTCTTTGATATTGTAAAATTTTTTGCCATTCTCACACGCAAACGATTTAAGCGTATGAAGCGCGTTAAATGAATCAAAAATTGTAGCAAGATATGGAAGAGCTAAAGGAGTAGTAAACACACCAGCACATGATTGAGCACATTCTTTTAGATGTGCAGGATGTGGAGCAGAATCTGTTCCTAAGAAAAATCGAGGATGTCCTACAAAAATTGCTTTTGCTTAATATACTGTTTGTCATATAAATATGCGATAGTACTTGCCTTCAAGAATTACGTCACGTAAAGCTTGTCGATCATGCGGAAATTTTGCAACAGGTTTACAAAAATTATGACATTGTCCTGCCCAATCATCTACGGTAAGTTGTAAATGATGGATAGTTATGGTACAGCCAACGGTATCTCCAAGCGATTTTACCTAAAAAAAAAAATACTTAGTAAGATAGAAAATATTAAATTTAAAAAACTATCAAACTATTTTTTTACCATTCCGATCGCCTCTTTTGTTGTAGCGTGCTCCAAAACGATTTTTAATCTCGGAAAATCTTCATGTAATTGTTTTAAGTGTATTAAAAATTTTTCTTCTGCATTCATTACGCATATATCCTAAATACCTCGTATCATATAAAATTTTGATAATGAGGATGAATTAAAACGTAAAAATGTAATTTAACAAAAAAGCTAACCTGTTCTATATCACTTGGAATTTCGCCGTGAAGATTTAATATCATTCCAACTTCTTCCATAGCTTTAAAAACCGGATAATAAACTTTGTATGACTCTATACCCGAATCAGAATTTGTAGTTACTCCTCTTGGATATGATTTAACACCAATGATTCCAGCCTCTTTTGCTTTTCTAATTTCTTCAGGTGTTAAATCAGAGTTGAGATACAAACTCATAAGAAAAGTCACGTTTGGTTCTAACTTTTCTAATTTATCTTTATAATCAAGAGCTTGTTTCGTAGAAGTGATGGGTGGTTTAAGATTTGGCTATAAGAAATTAAACGTTAGACGGTCTTTAACAGTATATATATGGTAGAACGAAGAAAATTTTTGTCCGCGTTTATAATACCATGACGTAACATAAAGAGATACCTCCTTCCGCAATTTGAGGAACTGCCATGTTCATTAAATCATCTTGACGAAGATGAATGTGAAAATCACTTGCTGAAGGAAGAATTATGGTTTTGTTTGGCATTTTGTTCGAGAGGTTTACGGACGTCTTCACTTTTTTTATTGAACTTGATTGTGTATCATTTCACGACATAATCAGAATATAAATGGAAATATGCAATTTATCAAGATCTGATGACAAAATCAAAAAAAAAATTCAGTTATGATAAATCTGAAATTGGATGTTGACATATTAAAGCAGATGGTTTCCAGCTGTTTAAAAAGAAATTGTGTTAGCACTTGTAGGTTAACAAAAGGAAATTTATTACAGTTTGAAGATAACGGTCACTCAGTCTGGGTCATCCTGCAGATAAAATTGCTAGCGAAGTTGCAACTATGAAATATGTCGCTCAAAACACCAGCATCAGAGTTCCAGAAGTGTATGATTGGGATAGCGAAGCACAGAATGACATAAAAATTCCGTATATTCTGATGGAATACCTACCTGGAACACAGTTACATAAAGTTTTGGGACAAATTGAGCATTGAACAAAAAAGGAGTGTTTTAAGTCAAATGGTCAATGTGTTGTCCGAGTTATGGAAATGCAAATTTGAAAAGCTCGGATGTATTTACAAAAAATCACCCAATTCTTCCTTAAGGGAACTGTTCAAAAATGTTCAATATTTTGTTTTGTAAACCTCTCCAGGCATATGATGAGATTGGCCCTATCATGAGCCAACTATTTTACATTGAAGGAAAGAATGATATTCCCAACGTTCTCAACTACACTGGTCCTTTTGGAAGCAAACGAGAGTTGGTTTGTACTTTAATCCGTAAAGAAAAGCAATTTTTTACAATTTATGGTGTAAAAAAACTTGTCGAGGAATTTAATTATGTGAGACAGGGACAGATGCAAAAATGCGATTGGAAGATCATTCATGGTGATTTTGATGAGCAAAATATATTAGTTGGTAATAATTTCAGCATCATTGACTGGAAGTTTTCGTGTACAGGGACCCTCTGGGATATATGCAAGTATCCTTCTTGGATATGAGAACCAGAGGATCCATACCTCATAATGATGCAGAAGTGGAAAAGAATCGGAAAAAGAAAGAGCTAAGAGATTACTTCCATCAAGAAATGGTGGCAAAATTTGGGGTGGGAGACATAAGTGGGCAAATACTGGACAGAAGAGAGCAAGATGAAATAATCGTAGATTTGGAAGATATGTTTACGCGTATGGTTCACAGATTTGATAGTCTTGAAAACTTGCTAGTGTGTTATTTTGACAATTATTACAAAGCCTATTTTAAGAAAGAGGATAATACCGAATTTAGAAAATATTTGATTAAACTTTTGTAACCACCGTTTGTATTAGATATTTTTTAAGTAAATACAAATGACCGGTTTAGGTTAAGGATGGCCTCCAAAATCTGAAATCTGAAATCTGAAATTCTTTCTGACATCCGGTCTGGTATGTCAGATGTCAGATTGTCACGTGATATTTTCTTTGTTAAAATGTAATTTATATCATCATATGAATGAACAAGGAATTGGTATCTCTAATGTAATCATTTAAGCTGCACTTCCTGTTGACCTGACCGATCAACAGGATGCAGATTTGATCTGCATAGCCAACGAAATCTAAGAATATTACTGCATGTGCAGCCATCAACTGTGTTGAAGATCTTGTACTCGTAAGAGGAGCTGAAATAATTCCTACCAAATGGTGAAGCGGTAGATGTGATCATTGGTAGACTGGTATAGCGGGTCTAGGAATGGTCACTGACCTGTTTGGTCTTTTCCTATAGCAAAGTTTCACTGTGAGGAGACTGTCAGATGGTTCAAGAGGTTCTGTACGATACTCATTAAAGGTAGGTAGTCTACCAATTTGTATGAAGCCTTGAATCATTGCAGTCAGCTCTAACCTGAGGTAGTGTAGATTGGGAGCATAAACAACTAACATTACCCTCTTAGGGAAAAGTTAGAGATGGATATAAGGTGTACTAACCAATGGTTGGTCCACCCTATATCTTTTACTGAAGGGTAAGACGGGATGTATATCAATGATCTAATCACTTAGATAGTTTATCTTTGTTTACAAATTGCTATTAATGTAATAGACTCTGATTACCACTCTAGAAATAAAATAAATAAATAAATAAATATCATATGATGAACTGAATTATTGATTCATATCATATATAACATATTTATATTTACTGTACCATTTTGAAATTCAACCATTTTTTGAACTTAATTCTAGTCAAAATAGTCATAATTCTGATCAAAATCGCCATAATGTAGGCCAGATTCAGGGGAGTTATTTAATTTAAAATAAATGTTTCCGGAATATATACTTTTTTGTGCGTATATCCAAATCTATGTAAAGTTCGGCATATTGTTAAAATACTTAGACTTCTTTACATTCAAAGTCTCATTTCTAATTGAAGTTCATACAAAGGGGTTCCTTAATGGGGCGTCCTTAATGTACTTGTACAGTGAGGGTGTATGATATTAATGTACAGAACTTCAAGGTATTTTAGGTCATTAAAGTTAAAAATTCGTGATCTATCTATACCCTGAATAATATGAAAACAACCGAATTCATAATTCCGGCCAAAATTAATTTATAATTTCAGACGAATTCGTAATTCCAGCCGAAAATCATAATTCCAGCCAAAACTGATATGTCGATAATTTCTATTTTTGGTGATGTATTTCAAGCGATAAAATCATGCTATCACTTTAGTTTTTTTCTTGGCAATTTCATTCACAAATTTATTTTATGTTGAATAATTGGATCAAACGAAAAAGCGAAAAGAAAATTGTGGTAGAAGTAATAAGAAATTTTATTAAATATTGTTTATTGGAATGTCTACGTTTTATAAAATTGCATTTAACTAATCTAATTATTATTAATTTGAAAAAAAGAAACATATATATATAAACTAATCCTTTAATTTTACTCCGATTCTTCATTGAAATAAGGACGCTCAGGAGTAATAGGTACGGCTTCTAATGTATTATCATCGACTGAAACAAATGATTTATTTGGGAATGAATAAGTTCTGGTAGAAATAATTGGGGATGCAGATGAAGATTCTGTTGACCCTGAATCAGACATTCCATCATCGTAACTTTCTAGGTCATTATTAAAATTTTTAATTTCTGACTCACGATTCTTTCTTCTTGTACGACTTATTGAACCTGAAGGCGAACCAGTTCCACGTGATCGTCGAAATCCTCGACGACGGCCCAATCCAGTTCCATAATTAGAAGATAACGAATCTTCCTTATTATGATTGGAACGTGTTATAGGACTAATGGGACTGTTTACCATTGAATCAGACTTAGTAGCATCATTTATTGTATACATATTATTGATATTAGTTGCTATATTGGGAGGTGAAGAACCATTTATATATGTTACATTTTCATTATTCTCATTCTCTTTCACTACAAAATAATATGTTAATTTTCGTTATAAGCGGTTAAAAGATTCGCATTAACTAAATATAAAATACATTACCTTGATCGTCCCTAATATGTTGATCATTAATCATAGATGGGGAAGTATTTATTTTAATATTTGCAACATTTTCCCTAGTACGACTCGAACGATTTGAAAGAGTTGAGCGTGTTGATCTTGTCGATTTGTTAGATTGCAAAGAATCTCGACTTGCGGAACGTCTCATAATTTCGCCTATTGAGCTCGATGTAATGTTTAAATTTCTGAAAATACTACCATAACTAATAATAAGATCCTTTAATAATCTGATCGGATGTTTATCGTCAAAATAAAATGAAACCTTATTTGCCGGCCTCAGTAAAATAAAACCATATATTTGAGAAATAGTTGTAATAAAATTATCACTAGAATCTACAGATAAGGCCAATCTGAAGGATAAATTAAGAAAAAAGTTAAAAAGATAAGAAGATAATAATAACAACAACAAAATAACTAAACTTACTGATGCAAATGAGATATGAATGCATTCAAAGTCCGGTAATTTCCTTCTGGAATAGTAGTTATCAAATTAGATACAGAGGAAAGACGCGTTTCAACATCTTGATCATCTGGATCTTTTAAGCGATTTATAATAATAATTCAATATGAGTTATAAGCGAACTTAATATTAATAATTTATCAGGTAAATAATTAACTCACTAATTGAATATAATAACTTCACGGGTTCATAAAGTTCAAAGGTAAGCAAACATTCAGGTAATTCTAAAAGATATAATTTCAGAACACCTGCAACAATAGTTAAATCATATTCTCTTAATTTTTTCAATGTAACTTTTCCACCTAAGAAAATTTCAATATAAAAATTATTCTCATTATATTATAAATTGAATAATTAAACTCAATCAATACATTAATTAACTTACCATCATTAATATTATCACGAAGCGCATGAATTGATGCCAAAGGGACATCTGTTGTCCATACAAGTCTTTTATCTTCAAACGAATAAAAAAAAAATATTTTAATGAAGTTATATGTATGTATTCTTTGTATTCTTAAAACAAACATTCGTAAATTTTTACCAGCATCACTCCATTTAGAAAATCCTTTGGTTATACAACTTAAGCATTTTGTTACAACCTGTGGAATATATTTAAGATCATGTTTGGCTTTCTCTTCTAGAGGAACGCCAAATGTCTGGTCTAAAATTTTATAGGTCATTTTTTTTAATTATATATTTGGATTGGATGTAATTTCTTAATGAGATGATAAAAAAAAAAATTATTACCATTTGCACTTCCATTGTACTGATTTCTGTATAAGATGACCTGTGGAATGAATGGACCAGTACGGTACCTTTCAATCATGAATCGAATATCTTTTTCCGGGTTCAAGGCCTCATGATATATAAGCAATCTCTCTGACGTCATTTGAGTTGTGGAGATAATACCACTAAATGTCGCAGCATAATTTAGGAAAGCTAATTTAATAATAAGGATCTAATAAGCTGAACTATTTTTTCATAATCGCCCTTTTGTTTTAAAAAAAGTAGTCTTATTTGCTAAATTACCTGCTTTCGAAGCTTTAATACGATCCAATTCTTTTCTTTCCATGAAATTCAAATGATCGATCTATGTATTTACATAAAGTTAAAATTTCACGTTCTAAATTTAGACCGCGTACGACTGTACAATCGTTATCACGTACCATACTTTCTTCAAGATGTAGACGAGTTTTATCAAGTCTTCTAACTGCATGTCTATAAGCCTCGTCAGCTTCATCTGCCTCTTTACGAGCACGTTTTTCATTTGGCTGATTAGATGCAATAGTTGATACCAAACCACCCCAACCTTTTGACAAAGGAGTGGCTTCTTCAGTAGTTCTAAGATTAAATGCCTTCGCTTTCCATTGATAGTAAGCGGAAGGGCTACTAGTAAATTTATTTCCATATGCTCCAATAAGACGTAAAAATCCTTGATCTGCTAATTCTTGACCAATCATTTCAGCTTCCCTCAAAGTACGTGCACTAAGATGATTTTCTTGCAACCATTTTGCGATGTCTTCACCAGTGTACACATCATTATATACTCCTAATATTGGAAATTTTACTTCGTGAGAAGGAATTTCTTCACGCATTCGTAAGAAAAATTTCATAATTTCATCCTCAGTAAAAGACTGTTCCCCAAGAACAACTACTAATAATTGAAATTCGTTTCTCATTTTTTCCTTTTCCTTTTCCAAAGACCTTTGAATCGATGCTTCATTAGCAATTTCATCTGCTATTTTACATTTATTCTGATAATTAATACGCGCTTTTTCTACATCCACAATTAATCGTTCATACATTTTCATATAATCTGTTAACTCATCTCTACTTGATTTAAGTCGTTTGGCATGCTCCTCCTTAGATTTGAGTAATGGTTGTAATACCATTTCGGCCAAATTACTGGCAAGCTGCAAATGTGCTTGCCCTAAATTACAACACTCATTCTTAACCTTCTCAAATGAACGTCGTAAAGAAGCACCGTCATCACGCAAGAACCCGTCTTGCCTACTACTAATCTTGGAGAGATCACATAGTTTTTTACCATATAACTCCTCGATTGATATCCTTTCCTATAAGTGTAGTCATAAATTAAATAAATGTTGTAAAGGCCACGAAAGTTAGAAAGGCTTCTTAATAAATAATGCTTGAACAAAATTTTCCGAACCTTAAAAAAGATTTACGGGTGCCTAATAATGCTAACCCTTATAAACGCAACGATTTCTTCATTTTCTATCCTTCCCTGTTCAAGTTTATCGTACAAAACTGTGATACCTCCAGTATAATTATTTGGTGTCCAAAAAGAGTTTTCAAAACGAAGCTGGGTAACCATAATATATATTATTGTAGATTAAATTACAGAATAATACTTAAATAAACAATCTGGGTTATAGTGTTCTTCTAAGAAATTTTTTTGAGGGGAGAGAGGAAAAGAAGTACTTTTTAAGAAGTTAAAAAAAGCTAACCAGTAAAGTGAAAGAAGTGTTAAGGTAAAAGAAGAACTCAAAGAAACTAGAAAAGTGCATAAATTTTTTTTACATATATGGTTCAATTAATTTAAAGTTTATTACACGTGATAACATACAATATACATAATATAAACAATTCTCTTTTTTAGTAAAATAATATTTTGCCAAGCCATGCTTAAAGTTCACGTGATATCTAAATATAACATTATTTTGTACCTCTCCTGATTTTTTGTTCTCCTGATTTTTATTTATAGATTCTGATTTGCAAAAAAATCTCTCGACCTTTGGCAAACTTCTTTATTACATTTAGGACACCTTATTGTTAATTGAGTTGACATAATTTTACCAGATCGTAGATGATCTTTAACAATATTTGCCATTGCTTCAACGAAAATTGGATCATCGTTTAAAGATTCTGCACGTTTTAATCCCGTGATTCCAGCCTATAAAAAAACTTTTTAGCAAATTAAATTAATAAATATTAATTTTTATATATTTTTAAATTACCTTTTCAGCTTCATGACCATATTCCAAATCCAATTCAAAAAGTGTTTCAATATGATCACTTGTAAAAGCTATAGGAACAAGTAAGATATCATTATGACCTTTTTTACCAAGTCCAATTATTGCTTCATTTGTTTGTGGACCCATCCATGGTTGTGGACCAACTTGAGATTGCCAAACTAAACGATATGGATTAGAAAATTCTAAACGTTCCATAACTCTATGTACTGTAGCTGCAACCTCTGAAGTGTATGTATCACCACGATTGACAACAACCATTGGCAGTGAATGGGCTGAAAATAATAAAACTACTTTTTTTTTAACATCTGAAGGATATTGTTTAAGAGCAGTTTCTATATGCCTAGCAAATGCCTGATTAAATTATTTTAAATTTTAATAAAAAAAATATTGAAATAATAATAATCTCGTTGACAAATATGATTATTACCTCTATTAATCCCGGATGTGTTGGCCATCGATCAATAACACTCCATTTAATTGATTGTTCAGGATCTATTTGTTCTGATTTTCTCCATAATTCATTTAAACTACTTCCAGTAGTTGAACAAGAATATTGTGGATACTGTGTAAAAGCAACCGCGCGTTTAACTCCATCTTTCTTCATTTGTAGTAGTGTATCTTCGGTTAAAGGTGGTGCATACCGAAAAGCAATATATGATTTATGTGGGGCTATAAAAGAATTCATTAGAACTTTATTAAATAAACTCTCTTTGTTATTTAATATAACATTTACCATGTTCTGGATTTATTTTATCTAATAATGTTTCCATTGCTTTTCCTTGTTTCTCAGTCCAAGATAAAATAGGAGAACCACCACCGATTTTATCATATTGTTCCTGAATTTTAGGTGTTCTTCGTTTTGCTATAATTGGAGCCAAGCGAGTTTGAAATGGTATAGGAATAAGATCTGGATCCAGAAAAAGTCTCGTCAAAAAATCATTTACTCCTTCCAAAGTCGATGGACCTCCAAGATTCATTAAGACAATTCCTGTTGGGCTATTTTTTAAAGGATTTATTGAACGTGTAAATAACTTTTAAAAAACTATAACTTGACCGATATTCCCTTGTATCGTACAAAATAAGATATTCTATACAATATACTTTCTTATTTTAAAACACACCCTTTTTTGTCATTATCTTTTTGCGAAGTACCGGTAGCATAAGACCTATTAATAACTGTGTCAACGACAAGAACTTGGATTATTAATTTAAATATAAAAACTGGCATTCGGTATTTCGGTTACTCACACACATTCAAAACCGACTTGCACGAGGAATTTACAAAAATGGAAGTATTTCTCAAAATGCTTCGAGAATACATTATGATAAAATAACAAATTTAGCTTATTCCAACAATTTTTCTGAGAATTTTGGGTATATGGCTTATGGTTATATGCCGAATTGCCGATTGATCACGTTGCAATGCATTGTGCACAGTTTTGGTAATTGATGATCCCAGTTGAGAAGTTTTCGCTACTGTTGTAATAAGTTTCAACTGATTCGAGTAAGATTCGAGTTGGCTTGGGTTTTGTGATAAAGTGTTATATCAGGTAATGATTCATTTTCTATAATCTATTCCATTGTTTAATGTTGACATTCATCCGGAGTTAAATTAGAATAAGATTTTTGTAAATTTTGTTTGATAAATAATTCCTTTCCAGTTACAAATTGTATAGAGTTGTTTGTTTTCATTTAGCATGCCTAGTTAAATTTTCCACCTATATGCTTAGTCTTTAAAATTTTACTAACGGCATCAAACAAATATTCTTTTTATCTCGTTATTTTATACTCTTGCTACAGAAGAGTGTTTTGTATTTCTCATTTTTAGTAAAGATCTAAAGAAAATAGAAAAATTTAATATGATTTTGAATGGTCGATTAAAGAAACCTTTTTAAAAGATTCAGCTCACATTTTATTTAAAATATAAATATGATCAAAATTGATTTTTTTTTTATTTTTAAACGAATATTTTTTAATGATTTATCATTATGTTCTTTGTCCTTTAAATCCCTTATCTATTCCTATTAATAATATTGTAGCAATCCGGGCTCATTCACCATATTAAAGATTAGTTTTTTTTTATTATAAAGCGATATAAACTTACAAGGTATTTTTAATTTTATCACACTCAAATCATAAATTTAGCCAGTATTTTCTGCCGGAACTACAAAAAAATTGACAATTACGTGAATTACATAAGCAAGTGTAAAACTTCCCCCTTAAATCTGTGAATTATTTAATATAAGACCTATGCACAAATATAAACGGAAACTTAATAATAATTTTTAACGAACTTTATAGCAAAATTTTTTTTTTCTAAAAAAACACAAAAATGTCTTCTACACGTTGGGGTGGTACTCCATTATGTCCACGTTGCCAAAAGGCAGTGTATATGGCTGAACAGGTAAACTTTTCGATTTTGTTATTTTAACTATTCTGGTTAGCTAATAAGTTTCTTTTAAAAGGTTATTGGCCCAAATGGTCCATGGCACAAAGCGTGTCTTACTTGCATTGTAAGATTTAGCATTTTTACATTCATTCCATGATTATGTTATTTTCAAATAATTTTCTGATAATAAAATTGCCTTTTATTTATTCTAGGACTGTAAAAAACGTTTGGATTCTTATACTCTTGCAGAACATGAAGGAGAGGTTAGTCGTCCTTCGTAATTCTAATAAAATGTTGAGAATTCTAAAAATTCTAAAAAGAAATTTTGTTATTTTCAATAGGCTTATTGTAAAACCTGTCATGTACGTCGGTTCGGTCCAAAAGGTAAAAAATTATAATCATAAGTTTATTTATTTATATTTATTTATATACTATTTGTATTTATATTTATTTAATATTCTGATAAATTGCTAAATTTAGGTTATGGATATGGCTCGGGAGCTTCTTTCTTAAACACAGACAGACCTATTGAGAAACCAAATAGTAATGAACCCATCTTGGATAAGTTTTCTCAATCGCCACCTAAATCACCAATAAGTGCATCAACTGGATTTTTCAGTACTAGATCTCAATCGCCCAAAAGTTCCAAACGTACTTGGACTCTCCCAACTAACAATGATATATGCCCACGCTGTTCAAAAGCTGTTTATGCAGCCGAATCGGTAAAATTTACGATAGCATATATACTTTTCTTATTTAATCCCATTCTTATACGTTATATTCGTTATATTTTATAGGCATTAGGTGCTGGTGTTAAATATCACAAATTATGTCTACGCTGTGTTAATTGCGATAAGCTTGTGAGTTCCTCTAATTTAGCAGACCGAGAAAGCAAGATTTATTGCAGACCATGCTATTCTAAAGCGTTTGGCCCAAAGGTATTTTTAACTTTATTTTTTTTTTCTTTGTTTTTTTTTGTAATTTTTTGATCATTAATAATCCATTATTAAATTTTAGGGCTACGGATATGGTAATGGTGCGGCATTTTTGACTACTGAAGGTGCAGCCACCTGATTTTGCAAACATTATTATTATTCATTAATGGACTGTTGAATTACAATTTTGACAACCGAAAACAAACATTTTTACTTCATTTTTGAATATCATTTTTTAATTTTATGTATTTATTTTTACTTGGATGTACATTTATTTTTTAGTTGCTTATTTTATTTATTTCTACATTAATTATGTAGTAGTTTTATATATATATCACATATGTAGCATGTATTTTTATTATTTTTAATAACAATTCGATAGGATTGGCTGGTCTTTTGTAACTTTAAACAGTATGTAGTATTGTATCTTGTTAGTAAAAATTGAAATAAAAAATTTTTTTACTACAATAATTATCGACCAATCAAATTTGAATCTTCTATATATATTGAAAAAGTTTAAAAAATTTCTTTTATCATAATAATGACTTCAATTTTACCTTCTTCAAATTGGCAAAAACTTAAAACGGTAAGTAAAATATTTTTTTATTTGTCGAGTTAAATTTTCGTTTGTCTCATGAATTTATTTAATAGAAAATTGCTAAGGAAGAAACTGAGAAAAAGAATAAATATAAAAGAAAACGTAATGAAGAAACAGAACAAAAGTCTAATAAAAGTATAAAATCTAGGTAATTATTTTTGTAATAAACATTCTTATTTTTATGAAAAACATTTTTAACGAAATCTATTATGTGTAGTTCAAAAGCTTCAGCAACGCAAGTAATAACAACAAAAGAAAGGAATAAAATAGACGAAATATGGTTTGACGATATTATTAAAAAAGATCTTGGCAAAATAAATGAATATTCCTCTAAAGAAAGTTCATTGATATCTGAAGTTTCTTCTACGAATAATAAAACCAAGTTAGTATTTATATTAACTTATTTTATATAAATATTTTCTATTATAATGACCAAATTTTTAATGAAATAATTTTATTTAATAGAATTGGAAAATATGTTGCAATTGATTGTGAAATGGTTGGAGTTGGACCTGATGGAATTCAATCAGCTCTTGCAAGGGTAACAATAGTAAATTATTATGGCGTAACAATATTGGATAAGTATGTAAGACCCATAGAAAGAGTTACTGATTTTAGAACTGAAATTAGTGGAATTACTCCAAAACTATTAATAAATTGTAAGTAAAGATCATTTAATTATAACTATCATTTTTAAATATTCATTAGTTTTGTTTTTATTGTTAGCGCACGATTTTAAACAAGTTCAACAAGAAGTTTATAATATAATTAAAGATAGAATAGTAGTTGGACATGCTCTTCAACATGATTTTAAAATGTTAATGTTAGATCATCCACGTAAAATGATACGTGATACTTCATTATATGAACCATTTCGTAAAATTGCTAAAGGAAAAACACCTTCGTTAAAGCGACTTGCAAGTGAAGAATTAGGAATGACAATTCAAACAGGAAAACATTCCTCAGTACGTATTTTTTTTTTTTTATTTTTCAATGTAATATGTAATATTAAGTTTTTTTGTATTTTTATAGGTTGAGGATGCACAAGCTTGTATGATGCTATATCGTAAACATAAAGAACAATGGGAACAGTCTGTTCAAATAAAATATTATAAGAAATTAAAAATTGAAAAATCAATGAAATCAAATCTCACAAAATAGGGCGGTAAAAATATAAACAGTAATAATCAACATTATTAATCCATTAAAACTTTCGACAAATTCGATAATTATAAGTCTTGAATAATATTCGATAATTAACATACTAAAAAAAAAATATCAAAAAAATTTAATAAAAAAGCTTTGTATACTTAAAATATTTTTATGATTCTTCTTTAATGCTAAATTTTTTTGATGCACAAAGTGCATGAATCTGAAAACAAATGAAGCATGATAATTAGACGCAATTATTTCCCGAGATTTATACAAAAATGGCAATTTTGTTTACATACTGATAAACTTTTTAAATTCAATAACTTCAGACCAACAATCATTCGTTCTCCAATTCAAATGGACACGTCAAATGAAATAAATTTATTGACAAATGCATTATTCAAAACTTTGACAGCGCCCGAAGGCAAGATTGTCGAGTTTCCGGAGCTAGAGAACACTTACGTTCAAAATAATGACTCAACTTTAAATATACAATCGGAACAAACTCCTCTGGTAATAAATATCTTTGACTTTGATGGGACTCTGTTCTCTTCGCCAGAACCAAACTCTGCCATATGGGAAGGTCGATTGGTAGGCCTTTTGAAGAATGAAAATATTATCTTCAAGGGGTGGTATCAAGACAGAAGGTCACTTAGCTTTGGACCTCAAGAGATGCAGAATGGATTGGAAAATAGGTGGAATAATAAACTTGTTAATATTGTTAAACGTTCAATGAGAGATGAAAATACTTTAACAGTTCTATTGACTGGCCGTAATTATGATGAATTTCATGAATTGATCACAAACATGGTTGAGAGAAAAGGAATGCGTTTTGATGTAATGGGATTTAAACCAACTAATAATATTATTGATTGGCAAAAATATTACAAAACTAATATCATCGGAAAGATAGGAAGGGATATGTATGAAGAACTTATTATGAATCAAACAATTACAGGAACGCAGAAATTGAAAACGAAAGAATTCAAGATGAATTTTATTAAAGATTTAATATCACATCATCCTCCTCCAATTTCAATCAATATATGGGAAGATCGTCCTAATCATTTTAAAGCTTTCGAAACATATCTTGAAAAATTGAAATCTTTTGGAAAGATTAAGGAAGGAACTGTTTATAAAGTTTTTCTTCCAAGGATTTATTTAGAACCCTTTAGAGAATATGAGATAGTAATGGAAATGATAAAAGATCATAATTATAGATCCACACAAATTCATTTGGGAAAAATTGGAATTGTAAGAAAAATTCAATACGCGGGAATATTTTTTGATCAACAAGTGATTGATAAATTGAAAAGAATATACCCTCCTCCCAATGTTAATGGCGAATGGGTTTTTGACGGACCATACGTTCTTATTAAAAAAAATGTAAGTAACGAATGGTTAAAATCACATTGTGAAGGAAGAGGAGCTATCGTGACGATGAAAATTACAGGTTTTGGTATATACCAAAATCGTATTTATTGCTTACGAGTAAGCGAATACGAAAACAGTCTAGAAAAAACTCCCATAGGTATGCGTTGTGGTAAATTATTTAGTGATTGCCCGGAACCTTTCATTAATTTTGCCCATGTAAAAGGTACTGAAGGATTTCATAACACTGAAAGGATTAATTTTGATTGGATAAAATATGATAAACAGATTGTAGTTCAAGGAATAATTGCTGCAAAGTACATTCTTGGTTTAGAATAAATTATCGTAATTATGATTTGTTTGGATTCAAAATTTATTAATGAAATGTTTCTATGAAAATATTAGCCAAAAAATCTCATTTTTACCAATTGAAATTGTAGAAACATAATGACTTCATCATTATTTAATGATGTTCTTTAAGCTGCTTATTCAATAAAGCTAAAAAAAATTGAATAAAACAACGATAAAATGTAAACAAATTCGTAAATTGGAAAGATTTGAAATAACAATTATCATTTATCATAAATACCTTTAGGATTACGAGGATCAGTATCATAGGGAGGGTCTGTGATAAACATAATTCCTAAGTTAACCCATTTTTCTCTAAGTTAATTAAATTAAAAAATTATATCTTACTTGATTGCATTGAAGTTTCAACTTTGTTCAAAGAGAGCCATACAATACTTGCAGCAATGAAGAAATGAGACATAGGTTTTGCAATTTGAGTTGGATACTTAGGTCCAAATAATGAAAATAATGACATGTTCGCTTTTTCTTTCTGGAGACGATTGTTTATAAAAAAATGGATTTAACTGCAAAAAATTTTATTCCTCGGTGAAGAATGTGCATCATATAATCAGGAATTTCTTTTTTAGTGTGCATGGTGTCACAAGATTCATTAATCCCTTCTAAAATTTGCCACTTTACTAAAAAAAACCCGGTATATAAATAAACCCTTTTTTTTAAATAATCTTCACTTTCATCTCGGATATAAATAAATAAATATATATCAGTCATGTCAGAAGAAACAACAAATATATTAAATATAACAAGTTCAGCTGAAAACCAAACCGAACCACAGTACAATAAGTATGTTCCAACTATATTTCTTTTATTCTAAAAACTGAATTTATTTTGTTTTGCCTTTAGCCCTACTGAAGAACCTATTTCAAGTCCGAATAATGATTTCGAAAAACAACATGGCACTATGGCACTTATACTTTTAGCTGCTTTATTTGGTTTTCAATTCTTAATACTTTATTGGAAATCAAAACATTACCGATCTTTTCAAGCAGTTACTTTGGTTGGTTTATGGTTAGTAACTGGTGATTATTTTACTCGTTCTTCCGTTAGGCATTATTGAACCATTTTTTTTTATTTGATTTTAGGCTAATACCGATGTATTTCTTTGGACTTCAAGCACATTTTTGGAGATTTCTATCAATTTGGGTTTTATATTCAATTGCTAATTCATGGGGTGAGAATATTTTATTCCTTGTAAGTTAGGTTGAGATATTCATTTGGTTAACATATATTTTATATAGTGTTATATTTGGCATCAAGGAAACCGTTGGATCATCAGACACCAAGGTATTCACTACAAAATAATTTTTAATTCACTATAGGCCAGAATTAAATTTAATGGAAACAAGATTTATTTAAATAAGTCAAAAATAACATTTAAAACTATCTTTGACCCTTAAGTAAACTTGCAGAATAAGCAATAACACTGGTCGAATAATTATAAATCAGTATATGCTCTGATAGCTGATTTATAACTATTTAATAAATTTACATCAGTTTATTATCAATATTCTTATATCAATAAATTTTTTTAGGCTAGTCTATAAATGGTTTTCGGTTGTATATAAAGTATCGTATGCAATTGGTATAACAGGATATACTATTATTATGTTGTACTTTTTCGGGTTTGTACAATTATTTTATTCGGGTACAGATGGATTTGAATTAGGGGCAATACTTTTAAGTTATGGTTTATATTTCGGGTATGTTGATTTTTTATTTCTCTAAAAAAGCCAAAAAAGGAATTATTTTCTGACGAATTAAATTTATTTACTATAGAGTGTTAGGTAGAGATTTTGTAGAAATATGTACAGATAGAATGGCATCAACACTTGGATATTATAATAAAGATGGATTTCCAAGAAGACATTTAAGAGCAGATATATGTGCGATATGCGGAGTTGCGGCTTCTAGAAGTAATACAACAAATGACAATGAAAAGGTCGATCAAAATCATGTATTTCAATTAGCTTGTAAACATGTTTTTCATGATGAATGTATACGTGGTTGGTGTTTAATAGGAAAAAAGGATATTTGTCCTTATTGGTAAATATATATTTTTTATACATGTATGTATATATGTATATTATGTAATTAATCAAAATGATTTAAATGGTTTATAGTAAGGAAAAAGTCGATTTAAAGGAATTTAAAACAAATCCGTAAGTTTATAATATTTTAAGCAAATATTGTTTGTAACTCTATATTAATTCTAATATGTATATTCAATTTATTATAGATGGGATACTCAACAACAACTTTATCTTAGTTTGCTTGATGGTGTAAGATATTTAGTTGTTTGGCAACCTGTAAGTTCAATTTTATTTGTTGCTCGATTTTCGCAAAATGTTTCGCTGAAACATAACTAACCAACAATGTTTTTTAGGTAATTTTTGCAGTTGTACAATTAGCTTATACTTTATTTGGTTTAGAATAAGAATTAAAATAAATTAATAGAGCTTTTGTAATAATGTTAGATTCTATTATTTCTTGGTTATTTCATTAATATACTGTGTTATTTATTTAGTGAAAAAGTATTTATTAGGATTTTTATTATAAATTTCTTCCTTTTTTTTTAAAAAAAAAAAAACACTTATTTTAACTTAGTAATGTGTAATTTCTTATTTCATTAAAAATTTTAGTAATCATGTACAATCTTTTACCTCTGCTAATTTTGCCGCAGTAGATCTTTTGGAAGATGTGTGGGAATTGTAATATAGTTAACATATTATAATGTAAGAAAAAGGGCTCTAGACGTTTCTCCAAGTTTCTCCCTTATTGCAATGACTGTACCAAATTTCAATGAAGATAATAAAATATGACAAAATGATCATAATTACCTTAAACTTTTGATTAAAGTACCAAGTTCCACAAAACCTGCAAAAACTTTCTTTTAATGGATAATATGTATGAAACTAGTTCTTATTTACATCAAGTTTATGGATAAGGTCCAACGCTATGGGTACTTTAACATGCAAAAACTAATCATTTTCAATCATTCAATCATGTTCATAGGTTTCAATAGCTATAATTTATTCTAATTTATTAACTGTATCTAATCTAATGTTAAATCGCTTTTTTTAGTGTAATTTCGGTATCAAACTTTTTCTTATTTCTACCAATTATCGTCGCTCTTAATCATCATTATGTATGTATACGTATATATATATGTTAAATTGAAACTTATAATAAAAATATTTGACAAAAAAAAATATTTAATCATCAAAGAAACTCTTATTATCAACTACGATTTATTTTATCTTATTTTTTTCCTAAAAATATAATTGCGAAAGTTCATAATAATCTATAGGATTCATCAAAAAAGAAGCTTTTAGTGTTGGGACTTTTGGGGATGTTAAGGGTTTGCCATGATGATTAATGCTGGCAAATCTGTGCTTTGATTCTGGTCACATAAAATAGTATATTCTTTATGGGTATAGTTTAGTAAAATAATGTAGCCAATCAGAATTCATAAATATATATATATATAAGTTTCTCGATATCAGTTATCAAAAAATTAGTCCCAACCCAATTTCATAATGGATTTGTTTAAAGTACTGGGCAGTGGAGCAAGATTCAACAAAAAACGATTTACTGATGACATTTCACTGTTTGAGGTATTTTTATTTTAAATTGATATTAATGTATATGTACTATATTTAATATTCAATTTTGATTATAGCCATCGAATAAATTAAGGAAAACTAATGATACCTCAGATACTCAAATGGACATTATGCAAGAAATTAACTTCTTTCATAATAGTAAAAGTGCTATAGATGAGACATTAGGTGTAACTAAAGACAAGAAAATTACAAAAGATGTAGAAAAAGATCAAGAAGGTTGTTAATATCTAATTCGAATATATTTTGAGATTAATCTGAGTTAAACTGGTTTTTCTTTTCAAAAGGAGAAGAAAGTATCAATTGTTACAATGATGAAAATGAAGACGAAGACGATCAAGCTGAAGAAGAACCCTTAGTCAAAGATCTTAATTCTATGGATGATGTACTCACTATTTTTAATTTTTAATTAATAGTGGTTTTTTCTTTTCTTATTATATTTGATTGATGCCCTTCATTTTTTATAGGTTAAATCATTTCGTAAACGACATCGAATTCACATTTACGGAACAGATATTCCAAATCCATTTAGCTCATTTGATGACCTTGAATCAAAATATAATTTTCAACCATATATTTGTAAGAATTTAAAAAACTCCGCATATGAAAAGCCAACGCCAATTCAAATGCAAGCCATCCCAATCATGATCCATGTATGAACTGATTCCTTTGGGATTTTTTGCTATTTAATCTTCTTAAGACATATTTAACTTAATACAATTTCTTAATGAATGTTGAAGGGACGTGATTTAATGGCTATGGCACCTACCGGGTCAGGTAAAACGTTGGCTTATATTATACCTATGTTGCATGATTTGAAAGGTCCAGAGAAAATAGGTTATCGTGCATTAATTATTTCTCCAACTAGAGAATTGGCACAACAGGTTTTTTTTAACCCAATTTTACTTTTAAGTTTAAATTTTTTAAAATTTAATAATTCATCTTAATTTGATTAGATATATAGAGAATTCAAAAAAATGGCTGTTGGTAAAAAATTTAAAGTATGCATGTTAACAAAAGCGACTGCAGCTACACAAGCACAAACTCCTCACCTAAGAGAAAAATTTGGTATGCCTTATCTTGAGTATTTATTTGTGGATTGTTTTATTCTAATTGGTTATTTTTTAACCGATCAAATTTGATTAATAAGATATTTTGATTAGTACGCCGCTTCGCTTAGTTCATGCAATTCAACAAGATATCATTGAATTAAAAAAGTAGGATTACTTACAATAATGGTTTACATTCTTTATTAGTATTTTAACTTATATTGTAATTTATCATATAGTGTACGTCATTTGATTTTAGATGAAGCAGATAAACTACTTGAATTAGGTTTTTTAGAACAAACGGATGAAATATTTGCGGCATGTTCTAATGTTAAATTACAAAAAGCCTTATTTAGTGCAACATTTCCTTCAAGTGTTGAAACATTAGCAAATGATTTTATGAAAGATCCAATTAGAGTTGTAATAGGTCTAAAGTAAATTTATATTTTTTTATTTTTATTTTTTTTTTTATTTTATTTTGGTTTTGTACCAATTAATTTTTTTTTTTTTTTTCAACTGTAGAAATGCTGCAACGGAAACAATAAAACAAAAACTTTTATATGTAGGACAGGAAGAAGGAAAATTAATTGCTGTTCGACAGTTAATACAAGAAGGATTTAAACCGCCAGTATTAATTTTTGTGCAATCAATTGAACGAGCAAAAGAATTATTTCATGAATTAATTTATGATGGTATTAATGTAGATGTTATACATTCTGAAAGGACAAAAGCTCAGGTAGTTTAATGTATTTCTCAACTTTTTATTTGACATGAAGTTTTATGTAACGTAATTTTATTTTGTTGCAGAGAGATTCAATTATATTAAATCTTAAACAAGGGAAAATTTGGGTATTAATAGCTACAGAATTAATGGCTCGTGGTATGGATTTTAAAGGTGTTAATTTAGTCATAAATTACGATTTTCCACAATCTGTACAAAGTTATATTCATAGAATTGGTAGAACTGGTAGAGCTGGTAGAAGTGGTGAAGCTGTAACTTATTATACAAAGGATGATGCTCCTTATCTAAAAAGGTAAAAACTTTTTAAAGGTTAAATTTTTTAAATTGTATTCTATTAATAGTTTCTAATGGAGATATATCATATCTTATAAAAGTGTTGTTAATGTAATGAAAGAATCAGGTTGTGAAGTACCTGATTGGATGCTTCAATTAAAAAATCCTTCAAGGGAATCTAAAAAACGATTACGTAAGAAACCTATAGAACGTAAAACTATAGACACAAGATCTACTTATGACCTTAAGAAAATGATACGTAAAAAGTATGTATCTAATTATTTATTGTTGCGTTGATTTTTTAATAATTAATTTCCTTTCCTTTTATTAGAGAAATTATTGAAGCTTCAAAAAAACGAAAAGCTCGTAAGTTGGCTATTGCCTCGGATAAAAATGAGGATATAAATAAAGGTGATACCATTTACGGAGATAAAAAAGAAAAGAAAGATAAATCTAAAGGTGATAATAATTCGAAATATGAATCAAAATCGTTACTTTCAAACAAGAAAACAAAACAAAATAGTAGAAAAAAAAAGATTAATTAAATAAATATTTGTTTTAAGCTTTGTTATTAAAATCATACAATTGCAATTTAATATAAAAAAAAAAGAATAATATATAATTTTAACCCTTAAAAACTTGATCTAAATATTTAGAATAATCATATCCATCATTCACGCCTTGACTGGATGGCATAGTTTCTTTTAAATATGATACAACGTTTTCTGGCAATAAAGATCTTTTTAAATCTAATTCAGTAACAAAAGGTTTATCTCCCGCAACAATTTTGAATGATTGTCGAAGTTGATCTGGTGAAGTTTTATCTTCTGTTACATTAATCATATAGATAATAAACTAAAATTATAAAAACATAAATTAGATTTCATTAAAATATATATTATGCTTTCTTGCATGCATAATCTTTGCATAAAAGATAACTTTATAAATTACCTGTTCAAAAGTGGCTTCGGATTGCCCATCAGTCATTTGTTTGAATGTAGCTTCCCATTCATCATCCTAATAAACAATATAAGTAATTGTTTTAATAAATTATCAAGTCATTAAGTTTATAAAATGAAACATAACACACATTATGGAAAATGCCTAAACTAGCCAAGGCTGCTTTAAATTCATAAGTATTTAACGTATTTGTAGAATCTCTATCGAAATGCCGGAAAGTGCTTTCAAATTCTTCTAATTGTGCGGGGGTTAAATTTGTCATACTTCTTGACACAATCTTTTTAATAAAATGAAAAAATATGAGTGACAATGCTAAAATAATAATATAAAATAAAATACATAGTTACCTGATTTTCGATAAATGAAGATTTCTTATTAACAGATTGTTTTACAAGCTCCAGTTCGAATCTCAAGTCATCTACTGAAAATACAGTATAATCATTTTCTTCTATATTAGCTTCACGACATTGAGCGTCAATTTCTTCAATACGAGAAAGAGAATTATCCAAAGATCCTAGTTTTACAGAAAGACCTTTCACGGTTTCAAGTTGAGCATCTAATTCTCCATCTAATTTAGACAATACTTGTAGTATAGATTCCAAATTTTTCTGAAAATTATTTGCTGATTGAGCAAATGATTTACGAAGGTTTTCCTTAATACTATAAAAAAATAAGTAAATAAATAAATATTTATATAACACTCGATTTTATAATTCTTATTATATAAAGACTTACTCTCTAATTTTATCATTAATTGATTTGTATCTTTGAACTTCAGCAGCCAATAAGCCTTGCCATACTTTATCTAGGTCGGTTAAAGTTAATCCAGCGGGAGGGTGATAAGGTTGTAATTCATAAGTTTTAAGCTTGGTCTGAATATTTCCAAGTAATGAATCTAAATCACTTTTTTCAGATACCCATTTACGTTTCTCTGAACTTTTGTAATTATTAAATTCAGCAGATTGACGTTTAGCATCAGAATAACTTCCATCGAAACGTGAATTGGCCCAGACAGTTTTCCTATCATTAACATTTTTCATCAACTTAAAAGACAATCATTAACAAATTAATTAAATATTTTACTCTAAGAAGATGTACATGTGATTTTATAAGTATAATACCTGCTCGACGCGTCGTTCATAATCATGTTCCATATCCCAAGCGGATTGCATAACTTCTGCAAATTTTGCTACTCTCCTTCCAGCAATTTCTACTTTATCTATTTATCCAAGATATAGATTAAAAATAAGCTACGCAAGAATTGTACATAATTCAAATAAATAATCATCTGACCTAAGTGTGAGAAAGCATGAAAATATAAAGCAACATAGGTCATAATTGATCGTTCATCGGGTTTTTGAATATCACAAACGTCTTCTACGTCCAATAATTTCTAAAAAAGAGAAAAATATAAGCTGAGATATATAATAAGATTTCAAAAAGGAACATATAAAAAGTTCTAAATACCGCTATGTCAAGATGCGTTGCTGCTACATCAAATGCTAAGGCGGTATTCGCATGACGGTTCGACTGTATTGTGTATTTCCAAATTAATTTAGCAAAATTAATATCTTAAATTTTAAATTACTTAATTCACCTTGTCTAATGAATCATAATCCAATAAATCGGGACGATGTCGATGTATTAATGCACAGCTAACAAGCAAACTTTAGAGTAAATTTTCCGAATTCGTAATTTTTGACAATACAGATAATAATGTTTCACTTACAATGCTAAACCGTCCTGCCAACTCATTATATCAAATTAAAATACATCTTAAAACAATATCGTAATAAGAATTTATAACGTCTAGGTTTGGAAACACTTATTTTTACCTATAAGTAAAATCACGCACATCAACCTCGGCATAAGGAGCTGTCTTTCTTTGACACCAAAGTAATAGACCTTCCTTAGCTGTAAGTCCCTCCTCACTATATATATATTTTTTTACCAAGTAAGAATCAAGTATTTATAATATAAATGCAAGAATCTTATTGTAAATTATGCGAACCTAATATCAGCAATCGTGAATCTCAAAATAATAGTCCAGATCATACCAAGAATAAGTTTAAGATTGGCATCAACAATATCTAACGATGAGAGTTCATTAAGTTATAAATACAAATAATTTATTATAAATTGCGAGATAATAATCTAATAACCCAAAAAACTCCCAATTCATATACAATTTACACGATTGGAATCTATGCTTTAAATAGAATCAAGTTACCTTCAGCACCTATATTAGTGAGGGAAACGCCTCTATGTTTGATAAATTCTAATGCTTTATTCACATTTTCAACTCTTTGAATGCGCATTTTTGGATTTTTGTTATATTTGCCGAGAGAAGTATCTCCAATAATTTCCTAATTGAGCAAAAGAGGGATTATTGAATTATAATCCTTATTGAAGATGTAATATAATAGTTCGCTTGTAATCATAAAGCAATCAAATCAAATCATCAATTAATATTCTGTTGATAATAATCAATTAAGCGATTCGAATTAATTTGTTCTATTCAAATTTAAATATCAAGATCAATCTTTATGTTGAGCGGCAAAATATCAACTTGATGCCTCCTAAGCTGCAGGATTAACTGACAATTTTTGACGGAAATTCATGAAATATTATAAAGTAATTGGATTCTGCCAATTTGGATTTGGATTGCTCCAGGATGGCTCACCAAAAGTTGAATTAATCGAACTCCATCGGATATTTCACGATTCAAATCGCTAATTGGAGTTATATCCTTTATAGTCAATTTACTGTTCACCCTGTTAATAAATCATCAAAATTAATTTGCAAATCTAAGCGATAACTATATAAAACAGAAATATACCATTTCGTAAAAGTTTTCTCTTGAATAGTCTCCCAAGTTCTGTCCATAACCTTCGCTATTTAAAATCGAAAATTTATAGAAATGCGTTGAAAAACAAAAAGGTACATGTCTATTATGACTATCATTTTATATAAACTGAGAATTACCAGTATCTTCAACGACCTGTTGGGAAGCTGGGGTTGGTTTAAAAGGTTGTGCCATTTTCATATAGAAAACCAAAGAAAATTTTTTCAATTTACAATAAAGTACTCGAATAGAAAAAGGAAATACTGTAAATCAAAAATCAACCTTGCATGATCTTGTATTGCCGATCATAATTTATAATACGCGGAAAAATACCTGCATCAAAATTTATTTTTTTTTAATTATTCGTTATTTTATGCGTACGATGAACGTTATTTCAGCGGTGAGTTTTAGGGAACGAACAAAAATATTTTCAGTTAGTATATATTTAATTCTTCAAATTTGAATTTTTCGCGTAAAATTTATTGCTTTCAGCTCGAACAAATCACCCCATTTTGTGAAAAATATCCACAATCAGCAACTCACCTTTCTCAAGTGTACCTTGACTTGACAAAAGGTAAATATTTATCTAATTTCGCATATTTTTTAATGAAATGTGTGTAAAAAAAAAATTTCTTTCTTTTAGCAAAAGCTTGGAAGGAGGTCAAAGTTATAGAAATTGAACCTTTACAAAGGTGTGTGATATTCGGCAACGCAAACACAGAAGTAATAATTGAGTAAAATAATTCTTTAAATATATATTTCTTGTTTTCCTTTTTTTTCGATGAATTCTCATTCTTCACTACATTCCATTATACTTAAAGACTGAAACTCAAATAATTGTTCCATGTTCCTCCTCTGAATCATGGTCAATTGAACGGTAATTAGTTTGACTTTATAATTTATATCATTATAAATACTAATGCTTAAACACTCTTTTTATGACTATTTACAGCATAACCTTATTATTCTCTTCGCTACAATCATTTTTGAACAAGCCTTCATATAAAAGGTTTGTTTCTTAAAAAAATATACACTAATATATACAGGGTTCTTCATGGTTTTTGTACAATAAATGAACATTTTAATATACATGTAAAGTGTGAATTATTCTAATGAGTTAAATTATTATTATATTGGTTTTACAAAAATTTTCTTTAAAATTTAAATATTTATATATACAGTGTTACTCTTGCCATCACGTTCCCCGACTCAACGGTGGTTTATTATAAAGTTCATGAAGGAATTGTTCCTCCAACTAATAATTGTGTCGGTTGAATTAAAGAGAAGAGCAACAAGACTGAAAGATGTTTGAAAAATGAATAAGATTAAATCTGAATGTTTAAATGTATGATAACAAAATGTCTGAACAAATCGCTTCTTTCTTAATTGCAATGTTAAACGAGTATCCCCTCCAATTGAATTAATAGATAAAATATCCAGTATGTGCCTTAATTTAATTATTAATCCATATGTTAATATTTATAACAGATTTAAAAGAAAAAATAAGAGTAAGAAGTAACGCCATAATTGTTGCAAATAATATAAAGAGCAACAATTCTACAGGATGTTGAAAGCAAATAGGATATAATATTATTATTCTACAGAATTTTGTTGGAGAAATATATACTACATATTGAGTTGAAAATGTAAAAGTATTTGGTGAATTGTCCCAAAATCAAAACTTTATAAATCCCATTTTGGCGTATTAAATAATTATAATATGCCAAACCAAAATAAAAATAAAGCAGAGAAATCGATGACCCAAATTTATTAGTTAATTAATTACATTAATTAAATAATTAATTTTCCATCCTTCATTATCTTGACCGTCGCGGTTGGGGTGGAGGCGGTGGAGGACTATTTATAAATCTTCTATTTCCGCCCCCATAAAATTGGCCATATGGCATATCACCATATCCACCATCATAACGCGGGGGAGGCGGTGGAGGTGGTAATTCACTATAAGGAGAGAGTCCAAAGCTCATAGGATGTATCATAGCATTATAATATCTAGGATCTCCTGTATCATACGGCATTCCATACACGGGATTAGCATTTTGCCCACGATTCCCTCGTGGTTGATATCTTATACGCCCATCTGGTCCAATTATTTGTTCTTCTTCTATTGGATATCGTCTTTGTTGTCTTTGCTGTTGCTGACGTATTTCACCATTATTAAGTCCTAAGAATTGTTGTGGCGGCTGTGTTTCCCGTCTTTTATTTCCACTATTCTCTTTTTTGCTATCTTCAATTGGAACCTGATCTCGAGTTCGTTTATTTGTAAGTGAATTATCAATTGGACTCGACGTTATCAATTCTTGTTCTTTTGGTCTTCGATTTCGAGATGCTCCTGTAGATGCTCCCGTGGATGCTCCCGTAGACGCCCCTGTAGGAGCCCCTGTAGATGCTGCACGGGCAGAATTTTCTGGCAGGGAAGAAAGTGATACTTCAGTTTTTTCAGTTTTCATTGAATTCAGAGGGGCATTAACAGGTAAGGATACATTCTTTTCTGTTGACGTTTTTTCTACCCTAGGTGTATTTATACTTTCTGTTATTTTAGAAATAGTATTAGTTGTACTTTCTCCCCTATTCATATTTCCAAATATCCAAATATCTGTTACAACGTCCGTTGTGTCATGTTCTCTTTTACGATGATGCGAAAATTTATCCATTCTAGTGAAATATTTATTACATCCATTCAATGTGCATACAACCAAACTTGTATCGTAAATGTTTGCTTTATAACCGACACAGTTCGTAATATCTTCTTCTGTCGTAGTTTCATCAGCTTCTACGGGCTTTGATGTTGCATATTCAACAGTCCTGACCAAATTAGATTTTTCAGTGGTTTCTCCTTCTTTTTGTAAATTATCCTTATTTATATCTGACTGCATAGTCGGTAATGATGTTATTCGTGCCTTTCCTTTATCCATTGTGTTCACTGCGGGTGGTGCAGTTTTTTCTACAAGCCTAAGTTGCGCGTTATCAGGCTTCCCGTTTTTTTGAGGCTCGTTTAACACAGGGTCTTTAGCTAAACGTCCATCACTTGGTAAGAAATCTGTGTCATTCATGGATAAAGTGGTTGGTTTAGGTGTTGAGGCACGGCGCGTTGGAACACTTTTCTTAATAGCTACATGTTTAATAGGATTATTAGCTTGTGTCGAACCTTCTTTAGGCAAAGAACGGCTTTCCAACTCCATTTTGGAGATGGGGTAAAGTTCCATAAACTAACAATATCGATTCAAAGCCTGTAATGTGCTGTATCCTGTACGTAAAAAAAAAAAGACCAGTAAATTGGGTAACTTCTTGGATCCAACAAGGAGTACGAAAAGTTAAAACAGAGTCCGTGAGGAATTTTGTGGCGGTAATAGTTTTAACTTTGTTTTGTTGACTTTTATGGTAAAAGAATAACACTGGTAATCGGCTTATAAAATCTGGACTGATATACAGGAATTATGACTGAATATCAAATCTAGCATGTTAATACTATGTTAATACTAAGTGGACTAAAAATTTAAAATTTTTATTTCTTTTTCGGTTTAGATAGCGATTTTTTTTAAAAACCTTTAGCTCGAAATGTCGTCTTCAAAATCCAAGTATTGAAATTTATCTTTATACATTTAATGTTTAAGCGTAATCGCGCAATTTCTTGCAAATACTTATTAACATAATTTCTAGGAATAAAAATCGTGCCGACTTTAATTACATATGTAGTTTGAAATATCGACACATCCCTCCAACACCGGAACATTTACCACTCGATCTTAGTTGGAATGTTGATCTTAACTATTTAACAGAACCCGATTCATTTTTCGAATCATTTCAGGCTTCTCGTCTCCCTTTAATAAGTGATTATGACCTAGGAATGAAAACCGAACTTAGTGACTACCCGGGACTTTTTCTTGGGGATGAATCAGGTTTATTGTTTTTATTTAATTTATTCACAAATTTATCTTTTGTATTAATTCTTTTTTTGTTCTTTTTTTTTAGGGTTAAATCCCCGAAGAGAAACTACTTCATTTGATATAAATGATCAAGCTTTGCTTTGTGTAGGTAAAGATCCAGTAACTGTAAATCAGGATTTATCAAGGTTAAAAAGATTATCGAGAAATGAGCCTAAAGAATGGTTAAGACGTACACAGTACTTAGATTCAGAAGCTGTTTATAAAACAAATAAGACGACTACGATGGAGAGTCGGTAAGATAGATGGTTTAATATGCATGTCGATTTAATGATTAAATAATGGTTTAGTAGAACTAACGAAAATCCTTTAGGATGGCTGCTCTGAAAGCTAATTTAGACCTGGTGGATCAATCTCATGAAGAGCAGATTAAGGCCATTGATAGAACTTTTGAAAAAGCAAATGACCCAGAATTTCTTTCAACATTAAAACATCCATCAAATTCTTCATTAAAGGTGAAAGAAATTATTCCTGTTTTTCCGGAATTTCAAGAAAGTTTACGTGGGCAGAATAAATTTGATAGAGATCCGTGGGAAGGATATGAAATTGATGATGATGAAGTGAGTAATAAATAATTATAATTATATGATTATAATATGAGATGTTTAAATCATATTTAATTTGTTAAAAGGACAAAGGAGCAGAAAAGGAACTGAGGATGAGCAAAGCCATAATAATTCCGGGCGAAGACCGACATGGAAAAAATCTATTTCGACTGTATGTTCCAGATGTAGAATCTGCAAATAGACTAGTGAAAATTAAAAGTTTTGACGATACAAAAAACGAGGTAGATTTTATTTATCTTTAATGCAATACAATATATAAATTAACTAGGTTTCGTTGTCATTATAGGCGTATCACTTTAAATGGGTCAGAGATTATAATATTGATAGTGATACCGTAATGGAAAATCAAGATTTATTATTTGTAGAACAAAATCCAACTGATGGAAAAAATGAGAAAATATTTTCTTATTCTGAACTTTATGTTGCATCAGTACTTAAACGTAGAAGGGATACCTCGGTAAATATAATAATGGCCTGTTTACCTTTTTTTCAATACTTATGGTTTATTTCCATTTTAATAGGAACGAATACAAATGCCTGAATTACAAGGCGGTAGTACGTACCTTAACGTAGAATATGTTCAAAACATTGAAAAAAGGATGCCGGAGAGACTAGATAGTGATGATAATGATGATTTTGATAAGGACATTGACAAAAATAGTGATATATCTGGGAAACGAAAACGCGATGTCAATGATGATTATACAGATAATTGGACATCTAACAGGAAATTAAAGACTGATAATGATGAAAAGGAAGGATTATTTGACGAAGAACTTGGCAGCGACAACACAATTGATGCTGACTAAATTCTATATTAAAATTTTTTTTAAATAAGTTTTATCACACTACTAGTTCTAGTGATTTAGTAATTAATAATTTATAATCTATTAAGATAGCTACATTCTAAGTTATTTATATAAATGATATTTCAAAAAACAATTATCAGGTCAATTATAATAATTTGAATATTAAAAATATCAAATAGAAGTATAGAACAAAAAATCTAGAAGTTTGATTTTAAAGATTCTTGATTTTAACCAAAATTAAGTGGTAAATCAGTTGTCAATACATGTTGTTACACAATTTTAGATATTTTTTTCTTTTTTTTTGTCGAACATTTTTTTCTATTACTCTATCTCAAAATACATTTTATAGTACGATCTTATACTGCATTCAATATGGCCGCCTTTTCTGCCAATTGGCGTTTTAATAAAGCTGACTATATTAATAATACTCCTTCTCGCCGAGATGGAACTTCTCTGACAGAAGAACGAATTACAAGAAGGGTAGGAATGAAATTCCTCCTAAACGTCAGTTGGAACTTAAATATACCTCAAAACACAATAGCAACGGCGGCAACATATTATCATAGATTCTTTATGTTGAGGAGCTTTAAAAGACATCACAAGTATGAGATCGCCGGAGCATGTATATTATTAGCTTGTAAAACTGAAGAAACAATGAGAAAAATATCTCAAGTTTCTTCAAGTTGTGCAAAGTTTGCGCGAAAAGATCTATCGCCTTATGTCAAAGACGAAGGGGAAATTGAGCATTGGTCGAGGACTATTAAAAAAAAGGAGCCGATGATCGCAGCAACCCTCTGTTTTGACCTAGCGATTAATAAGCCATATAAAGTACTGCTCGACTTCGTAAAAACACTGAAAGGTAGTCAATTTTTTAATTACTGCTATTCACGTTCCTCGAATTTATTATACTTAATAATTAATTGATATAGGTGTTGAAAAAAATGTGTTGCAAAATTTTGCATCTCATGCTTGGGCAATAATAAACGATAGGTAAAAAAATTGAAATGTATTGTGTCAAATTATTTATTAATTGAAGTTGGAATAAGTTATACGCTAATTCATATATTAATTCTCTTTAAAGTTACTTAACACCTATGTGTCTATTTCAAAAGCCCGAAACTATCGCAAGTGCCGCAATATACATAGCGGCTCAAATGATGGATCTTCAATTAAACATTAATCCAAGCAACGGATTATTATGGTGGGAAATTACTGATTGTAATGTTCGTGAATTAGGTATTTGCGTACAAGAAATTTTGGACTCGTATCGCATTCCTCGTGAGGAAGAAATGAGCCCTGATGTTCGAGAAAACGGCTCCATAAATCCTTCGGGGACAGTAAATGATAATTTAAATAGAGAAATTATTAATTCGGGGTCAACAACACCACTCATGAATCACACGACACATGTAGAAACGAGAAACGGTGTTCATACTCCATATGACAATCCATCTCCGTCCATAACGAATGGTGTAACACCCGCTCAGGACGATGAAATGGAGGATGGTCAAATTGTGGAGGATGAAGCGGCAAATGGTAAAATTGAAGATGATGAAATGGATTTGGGTTAAATGAAGTGATTGAGGGTGTGAAAAGAAACACTTGTCATAATTTTATAACTAAGTGCTTGACTTATTATCAAACAAAAAAAAAAATATTTATATATTTTGCGTATAATCGCAAAAATTCTCATAATTATAATTAATTTATACTTCTCTCCCCTTTCGCTAAAAGTAACTTAAAAATTTAGATCTTTTTTTATTTAATATAATTTCAATGCAAGCTACTTACCTTATATTTTCAATGAGCTGGTAAGGATGTTTTCCTAATTTCATAAAAATGAGGACTATTTAAGTGTATATATATATGTTTAGTATTTAAATTAACTATAGAACGACATTTAAAAAATAATTGTAAATAAAAGACTACGATGCTTAACGCTAATTCAGTTAGCCAGGCAGGATCAATTATTGTTAACTCTCGCATAAATGCTTTAGTTGTGGAAACAACTTATTTTGAAAAAAAAAATCGTTTAATAAATAAATTTTATTTTTTACAAAAGACGGTTTCCTTATAAATAATACCTTCATGGAAAATAACCCAAGGAGCATTACGAGTAAATAATATGGAAGATGGGTGTACATGTAATTCCTATTTTTTGAAAAAAAATAAATAAATAAATAATCATATTACTATAATTTAAATAATACACGTGACATGAAATTTTAATTAAGTAACGTACAACATTGTCTCTAACAGATCTAAACGATCCATCAGATTGCATCTTAGCAGCGTGAGCAAAATATCCACTGACAAGACATTTCCTAATTTTCACAGTGTCATTTCCACATGATTCAATTGGTACATCAAATCTTACTAAATACTTTTTTAATTGCTCACGAATTGATAAAGCGCGAGAAAGTGCACGAAAATTTAAATAACGTTGATGACACCATCTTGCAGATTTCTTTCCACGGGTGACGAAGGCATTAAATACTTATAGAGTAGATGATGTTTTAGATGTTATATGTTAAATACGAAATAAAGCTTGATTCCATATAAAATTTACATTTAACTAACCGTTCAATGATGTTATATGGTCACCTTCTTCAACAGCAAATTTTCGTTTCTCTTCTTCAAATTCAGCTGATGGACTTGAAGGAGTGACAAAAACATTCTATAAGTAGTAAAATTGAACAAAATTTATGATGAAAATTGACTATAATATTTATGAACAGAATATTTTTTTTATAGACTACCTGAACTGATATCATTGCAGCTATAGTAAGCATTTCTTCAGCACATTGATACTTATACGAATCCAGTAACTATAAATATAATTTTTTAAAATACTTTTAGATCTAATCGATTTCATGGTTCTAACCGATTTGAAATTGAAAAAGAACTGGCACAAAACAATAAGTCAGATGAAGAAAAAACACAATAACCATACAATTTTTCCGAGCATTGGATCGACAGGAAATTCTGCTAATTGCATCCCTAATGGCATGGTAAGCCGACCGTAATCATCAAGTGCTTTCAAAGAATATAATAACTAAGTGAAAAAGGAGATTAATAAATCTAAAAGGTTAAAAAAAAAATATAATGTTCATACTTCTAACGCTCGTATCATAAGTTCAGCGGGTGGGGGTGTCATAAAATCAAATCTTAAAACGTTATCAATTCCTAATGCTTTCAAATGGAGAACAACTTGAGCCAGATTGCTTCTATTAAATAATTATATTTATTAATCAATGTGTAATTGACAACTTTTTTTAAAAAATAGAATTCTGGAAAAAAAAATCACCTTTGTATCTCTGGGATACTGGCGTCTCTCAATTTATAAAATGAATCCTCTGTGTACAATCTATATGCTTTTCCAGGCATAACTCTACCCGCACGACCTGCCCTTTGTTGAGCCGAAGCTTTGGATATTGGAACCACGGTAAGGCTTTCCATCCCAGTTTTGGGATTATAAGCTCGTAACTGAAAGTATCAATAATATTCAATTCTTAAATCCTAAATATTAATTAAAATGAATCTTTCATAAAATACTATATTATTAACTTTATGTACTTTAACAAAGCCACAATCGATAACGTATACAATTCCTCCTATCGTAATAGAAGCTTCGGCTATATTAGTAGCCACTACTACTTTGCGAGTATTTTGTGGAGTTTGTTCAAATATTTCCAATTGTTGCTCGGAAGGTAATCCAGCATAAATAGGTAACGGTTTAATTTTCATGGCCGATCGAGGTAAGCTTTAATATTAATACAATATTAGGCATCCATATTAATTGTATAATATACACATTTACATTAATTTTAAATACGTTGTAGCTCTTTGAAAAATTTCTCCAACAGTTTTGTCAATTTCATCACGCCCAGTTAAAAATATAAGAATATCTCCTGGAGGCTCCTATATTATGTTTAGTCCACATAAGCACTCTAGACATATTAAAGCACTTCAAATTGTAAAAAACATACCTTTACATGAATATCAAAAGCGGTTTGAATTGCAGTTTCAACGTAATCTTGACATGGTTCTTCTAGGTAATGTATATCCACTGGAAACATCCTACCTTCCAAAGAAATTATAGATACATTATCCTTACTAGAATCATTCGTTGTATTAGTGTTATAAAACTCATAAAATGCTTCTGCATCCAATGTAGCAGAAGAAATAATAAGTCTTAATTCTGGTCTTCTTTTCTGAATTCTAAAGATTTAAATTATGATTTATCATAGAACAATGATAAAATAAAAAAAAGCCACGAATGTTTAGGTGTTATGCTTTACTTTTTCAGAATTCCCAACAAAAGATCAGTATATAAGCTGCGCTCATGAGCTTCGTCAATCATAATAACACTGTATTGTGTTAATAAAGGATCAAGAAATGTCTCTCGAAACAACATGCCATCGGTCATGTATTTGATACTTGTTAAATTTGGATCATAACATTCTTCGAATCTAATGCTATATCCGACCTTACAATACAATAAAAAGATTAATATCAATTATGAAGAATATGAAACGTGAACTTAATATCTTACTTCATTGCCAAGCTTTACATTCATCTCAGAAGCAACGCGATCAGCAACCGTCACAGCGGCCACGCGACGAGGCTAATAAAAATCGTTAATACCTCGATTTAAGTAAATATAATTGAAAAAAAAAAATAGATATTACTTGAGTACAAGCTACAATCCGACCACCTACTGTCCAGCCCGCTTCATGAAGATATTGGGGCAATTCTAAACAGAAATATTGTATGTTCAAATTTTAAGAAAATACGGAAAATATTCGAAACTGCACACTTAACTTACGCGTTGATTTGCCACAACCTGTTTGTCCAACGATAATTGTTGTCTGATATTGTTCCACGAGATAAAGTATTTGATCACCTTTAAATGAAAGGAACATAAGTAAACTTCTTTTGTAGACAGAGACGTTTTCGTAGTAAAATGGTTTGCATTACGTGATTTGAAAATCGGTAACCCCTTTCTTTGCTGTTGAATTGATAAATTAGTGTCATAATTAACAAAGGTCACTAGGTTTTCGTTTGTTTCTTTTTCTGCCTCGCGATCAACACTTATTCCTATAAATCCGCTAAAAGTAAAAAACTATTTTTTCTAACGGACATTTAATTAAACTTGCAACCAGGGTTTATGTACCTGGTGCAACAGTTCCTGGTTTCCAAAACGCCATTATATAAAAGTAAAAGGAAAAGTAGTAATTAATCGAACATTAATCGAACATTACAATATTGATCTACAAACATAAATCCAGAGTAAAATTATAATTATAACCTCAAAATTAGATAATCATCTAGGATTTTATATTTATTTTATTTAACGTAAGATTTATTACAGAAATTTTTACTTGATATATTTGGGCTAATGTAGACATTCATCTTGCCGGCTGTTTTCCTTTATTAGTTCTATCATTTTCCTCCTCCTCTTCAACTAACTTCTCTAAAAGTCTTTTAATTTCTTTCACTTCCGCACCACATCTTAAACATTGCCAGGTTCCGCCTTCTTGAAGCAATTTAGTTTTAATACAAAAATAACAATACTTATGCCCACAGTTCGTTTCATATGGATTGTGTACCTTAGACGAGATAACGGCAGATGCATTTGAAGCTGATTGATTCTCATGACATATAGCACAAATATGTGTAGGTAAAAAATCAAGTAAATTGGATCTGAAGTAAGATTCAGGGAGAAGTTTACGTTTTAAAAGGTTTTTAAGTTTACGCAAGTTAATAAGAGGCATAATGAAGAGAAGAAATTCCTATGAAAAACATATCAAAATTATATTAAATTTTTTTAAAAAAAGTTTTCGATATAAAAAAATCAAGTTTACCGTAAAGGCATGCCAAACCAATTGTCGATTTAAAAATTCAAAGCTAACTTGTCTATTCATTATTCTACGAGCATAAACTAAACGTATTGAAAGAATTCTATCAGTTAATGTACTGTACCTAAAAATAATCGTTCATACTAAGTTAGCATACTAACATTAATATAGAAATTTCCACATCAATTCTATATCTACACTTACTTGCCATCATATAAAAATATCAAAAAATTTAATAAAGACACTGTTTTATAAATGTTTTCCACTTTTTGCAATACTTTCCAGAATATATTTCGGGGATCATCCTAAATTATATCAAAAATATTTAGGTTTCGGAATCTCATATTTATATTAGAATCCATATTACCTCACTTAATTCACTCCATCCTTGCGCTATCACCAGCCGACTGATGCGAATCCATATATATTGACCTCCTACTGTCATCGCGATGTACGCAAATTTCTGAAATGTTGTTAATGGCGAGTCTTTGGTTATAGATTGTACTAAAAATATATTTATATGACGCGTATTAAATCAATCCGATCGTTTAAAATATTAAAAGACAATCAATTGCTTATACAAAATGATCAACTTCACACATCCTCCCCAATGTTGTTTCTCATTTCGATATTTAAGATTCTGCAATTGCGCGCCATAAGTCGCGCCAGACTCTAAAACGGTAAGACGATATATAAAATGCAGAATAGCAAGCAATTCTGGCTCAAAAGTTTGTTTAATTTGAGGCTGTAAAATGTACAATTTAGCAAATAACATTTACACATAACCTAATTATAATAGTAACAAAATATTTACGCTGAATAATAGCCACAATTGCTCTTTAAATGTTCCAAAAAGCTCAGAATCTAATAAGTCAGCGTCTAACTGGCTAACTCGCATAATGCGCAAAGGAGAAGAAGGAAAAGACGCTAACGAATTTCGTAGCGAAGATAGTGAACTTTGAACATTCAACCAATCATTCTTCCAGAAAGCAGCATTACTCGAATTCAAACTTGCGGTTGCCACAGAATCGGTAAGCAAATTATCTTTATTTGAATTGTTGGGAATCATTTTGTAATAAAAAAAAAAGCAATGTTAATGATCAACGTTATCTCCAAATTTAGTTTGGAGGTCAATGCAAGTTTGTACACATTGTATTATTATAAATTGATCTAACCATTCAATTCATTTGAATTTTGCCCAACTTGTTTGTTTCTAAACAAGGAAAATGACAAAGGAATCAACTTATACTTTTGAAGTTCACGCTCCTTCACCTCCTATTATTATTCCTGCCAGGAAGCCTAGTTCACATATTTCGGCTTCTGTAGCCCCTTCAGGAATGTCACCAATTACGGGGAATCCAATTCTTGTCAATAAATTATCAACACTTCCTTCTCAGCCTTCTTCAAAAAACTCTAGTCCGGATTTAACATCTTTGTCGTCTTCACCTTTGCCATTAAATCCAATAACGAATAAAACCAATAACATAACAAATACTTCTTTAGCCCCTTCTCCACGCTATTCCTCGTCATATTCTTCACCTTCTTCCTCTACTACGCATTTAATGAAGAAGGGTTTTCATTCCACGACAAGACTTCCAGATACAATTAGTACCAATAAAGAAGAGCCTGAGCAGATAGAAAATTTTCCTGAAAAACTAAAAAGAAATACAATGAAAAGATCTTTAAGTTATTCAAAAGAGCCTCATAGTTTATATTTTACTCCAACTTTTGTCCGAAATCCCTTTAACGATTGTGAAATATTTTCAATAGAATTAGACGAATCAAGTTCAAAAAGGACAAACAGTTCTAATTCCCTCAATGAATCAAATACATCTGGTTCATTAAAAGAAAAAGAAATGGAACGACATGATGATACAAAATTAAACGATTGGGATATAATTGAATTCCAATTATTAGCATTGGACAATTTCAGGAATTGGATGTTATGTTTTTGTGTAATTAATTTCGATTTAGAATTGGGGCAGGCAATGGATTTAATGTATCCACCTTTAGAGTTGACAGATGATGAAAAGAAAAATATTTGTTTTTCTGCATTCCCCGATTCGAATTCATTTGACGTGGGAGATACAGTATTTAATTTTCGTATAAGATGTTCACAATCTGGATTGGTTTCTTCAGGTTAGTCATAAAAATTAATTCATTTGTTATGTATGAATTTGGCATTGTTTCAAAATACGAGCATATTAGCGCTGGAAAAGTTCATTTTAACAGCTGCATAATAAATTTATTTTGTATGATAATTCAATTTATAAATGTTCAGATTATAATTTTGATATGCACAAATCAAAAGCGGTATAAAGTTTTAATACCTCCTGATCCATTTAATTTGGATGAGTTTGGTGTGTAGAACTATCATGGATGATAAAATTTAATATGAACATAAATGAGAAGTTATTGTTGAGAAATTAAACCCATACAATATATTGAGTAACAATGCTATATTAATTAGGTCCAACAGCCGACGCAGGATTTTTATATGGTTATGTTTTCTTCCGTCAAAAGAAAGATCCGCGAATAAGGCGTGGTTACTTTCAGAAGTCTTTAGTTATTTTATCACAATATCCATATGTTGGTCTTTTCTCAAAAATGGCCTCTATTCTTGGGCCAGCATATTTTGACGTTGGTAAACCTATGCTTGAAGCAGCTTGTCATGATATTGCTAGCTGGAAACCTCCAGCACCAGGAAACCATTTTGACCTTCCATTTCTGGGGAATGTTATACAAGTAGAATTATCACAACCTAATAAGCCACAGCTTCTTGAAACATGTCCATTTGATATGGCAAATTATCAACCAGAAACTCAAATTCTTGCTTCGTTACCACCAGTTACTATGTTTACATATTTTAAAGATATGTTAAAAGATTTATGGTTATGTTGGGAATTGATGTTATTTGCAGAACCTATTGTATTGATGGCACCTGATCCAAAAATATGTAGTGAGACTGTGTTAGAATTGGTGGATCTTATTAATCCAGTATGTTATAATGATATAATTAAATTTAATTTATTCGTGATTTTATTATTTATTTATTATAAATTAACTATTATTTATCGTAGATACCTTATTGTGGGGATTACCGACCATATTTTACAATTCAGGATTCGGATTTTAAGTCTTTTGTAACGAAGAACAAGGTGGACATAATTATATAATTTATAAAATATTTCATAATACATGAATTAAAATTCTTTATCATCCGTTTTATAGCCTTCTTCAAATATAATTATCGGAGTGACAAATCCATTCTTTACAAAAGCTTTACAACATTGGCCACATATAATAAGAGTTGGAAAATCTAAATCAAGAAAATCAGGTGACTCTTCATGGAAAGGATTAAATGCTTCATCGCTCGATTTTGTACAAGTAAGAAATATTTACTTAAGCAAATATAAAATATTCGTCGACGTACATCTTGTAAAACTATCATATTCTTTAGGGAGTAACAAGTAAACGAAAATCTGTTATAGCTAAAGATAAAGCTATACTGAAACTGCTTGCAGAAGCAATAGCTCGTGGATATCCACCAGGTAAGTTTATAACATGAAGAGTGGTTTAGAAATTTTATGCTAATAATTTTTTGATTTTGTAATTTGTAGATTATTTATTGAATAATATTTTGAGGAGATATTTCGTTGATCTCACGGAAAAATTTTTAGTGCCACTTAACCGATATTTTTCTACGTTAATACCATTTCATATGTATGTTTCTAGTAGAAAATGACTTAATGATGATATGATATTAAATTATTTATGTTAACAAAAAAATAATGCTTTTTAGAACACTCTCCTCTTCACAAGAACCTCCACTACTTAAGCCATTTAAAACTGATGTGTTTTTGAAATCGTTACAAGAACACGGTAATAATATTTAACATTATTTTAAAGTATAATTCTATTTTTGCATAACTAATAATTTTGTCGCGAATAGGACCACAAATACCTTTTAAATCAAAAAATTTTTCAACGACGTCTACGGACACTTATCTAAATTTTTACGCACAATTTCTAAAATGCGGTAATTTTGCTACATGGCTCAGACAACGTACCATAGAAGCACAAAATGAGTTACGTAAACGTTATTTACAAGTATTATGTGATGATGATGTAAGGAAATGGATGATTGGTAAAGACGAAATGGAATTAGTGGATTTACTAGTAAGAGTAAAAGACGAGTTGGTAAGTAGTTCAAGTTTCTATGTACATATATAATTTGTATTAAACAATTATATTTTGCAGAAACTATCAAGTAAATCGCCACAACAATCTTCATCAACGCGAGACAATAATGGCGTATTGCCCTCTATACCTACACCTAAACAACGTGAAAAGCTAAAATTACAAGCAAACATTATTATATCTGGACTTTCAAGAGATTTAAGAGAATCGTTAGCTGCAGGGATATAGTTTGGACAATTGGTTAAAGGTTCAGGATAAAATACGGATGAAATGTATAGATATTATTTATTATTTATAATTTATTTTGGGTTTAATTAATTTTTTTTATCTTTTTTGAACAATTTGGGATACAAACAATTTTTAGAACATCATCTTTATATATAAAGAATTAAAAAAAATACTAAAATTCGGTCTATATTACCACAAGACCTCAAACAATTATTATTGTTTAAAGTTTGATTTATTAATATTTTCTTATTACACCATTGTTCAAAAGAACTGAATTATTAAAATTCAACAAGTTATTTTTCCTCAATTTTAGCCAAAATTTCAGCATCACGGAAAAGTGTATATTCCTAATTGAATGAATTTGAAACATAATTTAAATCGTATATTTTAATCAAAAAAAAAAAATAATAAAAATAAAAATCAGAATACATGACTTACTTCTTCTCCAACTTTAACAGTACTACCTCCGTAGGATGGAAGAAGTACACGATCTCCAGGTTTTACTTGATTTGGAACGTGTTTTCCTTCCTAATTCATTTATGAGATATATAAAACACGCGTCAGAAATACAGATGGATGATAATTTAAAAACAAATCTATATTACAATCACCTTATCTAATGCACCTTTACCGACCGAAATAACCTCTCCCTCATTTAAAGATTCAAGTGATTTTTCAGGAATTAAGATACCAGAGGAGGTTTTCTAACGTAAATTTTAAAATTTTTTAGAATAGTGTTACACGATAATTAAAGTGATATAAATGATGTACCTGTACTGGTTTAATACGTTGAACAAGTACGCGGTCAAGAAGTGGAATTATAGCTTTTACATTCCTAGTGGCCGTTGCCTAAAAAAATTTTTTGAAAAAAAAAATATATTTTTTTTCACAACCGTTTTTTCACAAAATTATGCTTTTAATCGAAAAAAGATATATCTGAAATTTTTATAAACGCGTACCATTTTTATAATTATTTACTGTTAAAGATAGGTGTTTTTCTCAATACCAAATTAAACTGATCAAGCGACAAAGAATCAGAAATCTATATTTTATATATTGCTATATTCAGTAATACTTACGAATTCTAACCAATCGGGAAAAATTAAAAAATTTTTTTATGAAAAAGCGCCTCCGTCATTTAATTTAAAGGAGATAGAAAGTTGGAGAAAATTCTACGCAATTTATTTTACTTCGTAATATCAATATAGAAATTGATGGAATTTTTTTTAATCTCCAATCAAAACTTGAGATCTGTACTAAAAAAAAATTTTTTTGGGTCAAAAAAAAAATATACTTTCTCACGAAAAAAAAATTTTTTACTTTTGAATTTTCATTCTAACAATTTCATAAAAAATAAGTAAAACAGACAATATGCAGCGCGTCTCACAATTTTTCAATAAAGCTCCTCATATAACTATTTCTCCTTCCCTATCTATGGTATCTAGAAACTCTAAAAGACCGTTTCTATCGCGATTTTATGCTACTCACAAAGACCTTAAATTTGGAGTTGAAGGACGTGCTTCATTACTAAAAGGTGTTGATATTTTAGCTAAGGCGGTAGCTGTTACACTTGGTCCCAAGGGACGTAATGTGTTGATTGAACAACCATATGGTAGCCCTAAGATCACAAAGGACGGTGTCACTGTAGCTAAAAGTATATCACTTAAAGACAAATTCGAAAACCTTGGTGCAAGGTGAATTCAGTTTATTATAAAAACAATTTCTTTTATTAGTATACACGCGCAGTTATAATGGTTTTATAAATATAAAAAAAAGATACGCGCTAATTCCTTAAAACGTGAACTAATGTTTATTTTTGTTATTAGGTTAGTTCAAGACGTTGCCAACAAAACTAATGAAATGGCAGGAGATGGTACCACAACCGCTACGATTCTCACGCGAGCAATTTTTGTAGAAGGTGTAAAAAATGTTGCCGCTGGCTGTAACCCGATGGATCTACGTCGCGGAGTTCAAATGGCGGTTGATTCCATTGTCAAATTTCTACGAGAGAAAAGTCGTGTTATAACTACAAGCGAAGAGATAGCTCAGGTATAAATGAATTCAGTTTAAATTGGAACTAATTTCACCGATTATTATAGATTTATCCATAATGAATTTCTGTTAGGTTGCTACGATCTCGGCTAATGGCGATACGCATGTTGGTAAATTAATAGCTAATGCCATGGAAAAAGTCGGGAAGGAAGGCGTCATCACAGTAAAAGAAGGAAAGACAATCGAAGATGAGTTAGAAATAACCGAAGGAATGCGTTTTGATCGTGGATATATATCACCATATTTTATCACTGAAGCTAAAACTCAAAAAGTTGAATTTGAAAAGCCTTTAATTCTACTCTCCGAGAAAAAAATTTCAGTTTTGCAAGATATTTTACCGGCATTAGAAACTTCATCTACACAACGCAGACCGCTTTTAATTATATCTGAAGATATTGATGGTGAAGCTTTGGCCGCTTGTATCTTGAATAAATTACGTGGCAATATTCAAGTGGCCGCTGTAAAAGCTCCCGGCTTTGGTGATAATAGAAAATCTATCTTAGGTGATTTAGCTATATTAACAGGTGGAACAGTTTTCTCAGATGAGTTAGATATCAAGCTTGAGCGTGCTACTCCTGATCTTTTCGGTTCAACCGGTTCCGTTACTATTACCAAGGAAGACACCATCCTTCTTAACGGTGATGGTTCCAAAGACTTTATAAATCAACGTTGTGAACAAATCCGTGCAGCAATTAATGATGCGTCTGTTTCTGATTATGAGAAAGAAAAATTACAAGAACGCCTTGCTAAATTGTCGGGCGGTGTAGCTGTTATCAAAGTAGGTGGATCTTCTGAACTCGAAGTTGGCGAAAAGAAAGATCGGTTTGTTGATGCTTTAAATGCTACACGAGCTGCGGTTGAGGAAGGCACTGTTCCAGGGGGAGGCGTTGCCCTTTTGAAATCTATTAAATGTCTTGATAATTTGTCACCCGCCAATTTTGATCAAAAATTAGGTATAGACATAGTTAAATCAGCACTTCAAAAGCCAGCAAAAACTATTGTGGATAATGCTGGTGAAGAAGGTGCCGTTATTGTTGGCAAAATCCTAGATAATCATGTGGATGATTTTAATTATGGATATGATGCTGCTAAGGGCGAGTATGGCGATCTTGTTTCACGTGGTATTGTAGATCCATTGAAAGTTGTGAGAACAGCACTCGTTGATGCTTCAGGTGTTGCTAGTTTATTAACAACGACGGAATGCATGATTACCGAAGCTCCAGGTTTGTAATACTTGTTATTAATTTTTGTTTATTTTACAATAATTTACGCGTTCTTTGATTTTTGTAGAGGAAAATAAGGGAGCCGCTGGCGGAATGGGACGTATGGGTGGAATGGGTGGAATGGGTGATATGGGTATGATGTAACTTCATATTTTTTTTTACTTTAGGGAAAAAATAAAATAATAAAATTATTTGTAATTATTAGAATAGTAATTATTAATATTATTAGTTCGTATCATGAGTAATCAAAGTATAGGTTCACAAATTATTATCATTCACTGAAATAAAATCAAATTTTACAATTTTACATAATTTTTCTATACTTTGTTATTTGATTCGTGGTATGCGACGCGTAAAAAAACGCGTCATGTTTTACATGTACTACTGTTTCTTCAACTTTAAAAATTATCACTTGATAATATATGTGTTATATGTAATTTAAATGATTGTATGAAATTCTTTCATTACTAATGATAATATTTACACTTATTTTACATTAAATCGTATTTTCCTTAACCATTGAATTTTCGGCTAAATATAATTTACAAAAAATAAAAAATAGATAATAATATATAAAATAAAAGGTGAAGTAAAGTAACATCTATGAAGAATAATGAATATTAAAATCATCATATACTTCAAAATCATCTACAGAAGGAGCAGAAGGTATGGGAGAGATTGTTCCTGTTCCATCCCAAGACATTGCATAATTATCTCCATCTTCATTATGATAATGACAATTGTTATATGAATCTGATAATGCTGATAAAAATGAAGGATCAATTGGATGATTATTTGAAGAACCAATAGTCCATTCACTTGGACGTCTCATATGATGATTATGATCATGAATATTAGTGTAATCATTGTTATTATAATTACTAACGTCAGTTGTACCTATTACAAGCGGTATATTAAAATAACCATTATATTTTCCCATTTTCTTTCTTAAATGAGCATAACTGTGTTTTCCCACTTTACTAGAAGTTTCGAATATTGTTTTCTTAATCGTTAAATCTACGTTAATTTCTATTGAATATGATATGAAAAAATATCTTGCATTATTAACTGTTGGTGGCACTTTATTTGGAACTGTTATTTTTGTATTAATTGTTGCTTCAGATGTATCTGGATTAATTAATATAGGCAAGATTGTCGATGATATTACTTTACGCGTAGTTTCTTCTTTACTAATAATATAAAACAAAACAAAAAGTTTGTTAATTATAAATTTAAATATTTGATTAAAAGAATATTAAAACAAAACAAATACAAACCCATTTTTTGATATAGTTTTTGTTCTTTTATATAAAGCTATAAGTACACCTTCAAGATTTTTAATAGGAGCGATATGTTTTATATGAATACTAATTGGGACAGATTGGCCTTATTAAGGATATTCAATGTTAAAATTATAAATAAATAAAAATAAATGATTTGCTTAGGAAAAAAAAAAAAAAAGATTCTTTACCTCTCATAATTGCACCCTTTGAGATTTCAATATTTATATGAGCATAGCCACGAAATTTCTTTTTCCCCTTAACTTCAATTTGAAAAGGTCTAACAATTGGTGGAGGATAATTTTTTATATTTATATCATCTAAAATTTTAATCTCTGTTGAACATTTACGTAAAAATGTTTCCGATAACCATGATACCGTTTGTAATGCAGCTTTTAATGTATATGTAATACCATATCCAGAAAACTTTTTTTTTTTTTTAAAGGAAATAAATAAAAAATTCATAAATAAATTTAATAATAATGAGATTATAAGATTATAATTACCATACAGGATGAAGGAATATCGGTTGGCAAATTGAATGAAAATGGAAAATGTAAATATTTTTCTACTTGTTTATGTTCTCCTATTGATACTTCTTTTTCAAAAAGACAAAAATCACGATCCTTTGATGTTACTTTTCCTCTAAGTTTAAGACGAACGGCTGATGATTTAATTGTTTTAGAACTTTGTACAATAATGGCTCCTATAAACGTTAAAAGACACAAACGAATAAAAAAAAATGGGTTATTTCTTTTAAAGAGCAAAAAGATATAATATTTATAAAGTAAATATATACCATGAACTTCTTCACCAGGAAAATATTCTCTTGCAGGTTCAACAAGCTGAATAAAAAAATCGGAAAAATATGTTGAAAGAGCCTGCATTTAAGCCAGTAAAAAAGAAAGTTTTAAAGTATAAATTTACTTTTTTAGAAATAATATTATTTAAAGTAATAAGTCTAATGATTTTAGACAGTTTTAATTTATGATAAGAGAGAACGGAGAAGGAAAATTTTTTTTTTTTTTTTTTTAAAAATAACTCATCGGAAATTATATTCCGAAATAAAACTACATTAATCCTTACATAAAATAAATACATAAAATACATAAAAATACATAAAAATAAAATTCAGCGGTTGACATTCTATAAATGGAAAAATATTGATTATAGATATGATTTACCGTAAATCTTGCCTTCGTAAATCTTAACTTTTATCCTGGTAATAAGGGTAACTTAACGTACATAACGTACATAATGTGCATAATGTAAATTGTAACCTCACTATCACGGGATACACGGGATAGAAATTTTAATCACATGATAATTTTTAAAAAAAAGCTTTTTTATTAGGGTTATGACTTACAAATATGGCGAAAGTTATATTGATTAAGCAATTTTAACGTCATATCAATGATATAATAATTATATGACATTTAGATAAGCCACATACTCACTTTTTCCCATAATTTTTTAAACATGGTTTTAATATTGATTTTAATGGTAAAAAATAATACTTATCTATTCTTTTCAAACATCCTAAATAATTTTGCATAAACATTCAAATAGGGAGTATCGGCATCAGGGAAAAGCCATATTGGGAACTTAATTTCACAAGGACTTGATGCTCCTTTTATTGAAGGAGACGACTTACATCCGCCTTCAAACATTCAAAAAATGAAATCAGGAATTCCACTCGATGAAGAAGATCGAGTACCTTGGTTAAATGCTGTCAAGAACGAATTCATTAATATATCTAAAACTTCATCTAAACCTTATATATTTGTAGCGTGTTCAGCATTAAAATATAATTATCGTGAATTTTTAAGAAATGTTCCTGATAATAATGATATAAAAGTTTGGTTTTTATATTTGAAAGGAAGTAAAGAATTATTACAACAAAGAATTATAGAAAGGAAAGATCATTTTATGAAATTAAATATGTTAGAATCACAATTAAATACTTTAGAAGAACCTAATCCAGATTCTGAGGAAAGAATTATTATTATCGATATTAGTAAAGAAGTCGATAAAATTAAAGAAGAAATCCTTGAAAAAATATCAATGATATGATAAGTTATGACGTAATATGAACAAAAATCAGTTATCAGTGTTTTAGAGTAATTCGCCTATTTATTGCCTATTTCGAGTTTTTTAACATGTTTCAAATATTAAAATATTTATCATATATTCTGTATATTCGTGACACGCGAGCTATCTTTGGCAAATTAACTGACGTGTATTTGTATTCTAATCAATTAATAGATAAAAAAAAAAGTATGGTTACATAATTATTAAAAGGAGGTTTCATTATCAATAAAATGGCGTTTTTTTTTATTCAATTGTTATATTGTGTACATTTTGACCCGTCCTTTTTAACAATGAATTACAGATGATGATGATTTTCAAATAATACAAAATACGGTATAGTTAAACGTGCTATTTTAACTTAATAGCCCATAAAAAATAACTCTATACTTATTATGGGATATTTGAAATCGGGTATATATAGACCTGATTTTTTTAGTAATTGCTTACTATCGAGAGATTTTTTTTTTCTTTCGTGAAAATAAAAAAAAAAAAAACTACATTTTTAAGAAAATATATTATTTCTTTTATTTTATCTTTCCCCTTTCACTTCTTTAAAACATGGCATCTCGTATAAGACTTCAACAAAAAACAATTTTTCCTCCTTACAATCAAAATAATAAAGTTAGAGCACCAGATCAATTATTAGTAGAGCAAGTGATTAATTCAATAGAACCAAATATTATTGAAACAATCTCAAATCAAGTCTTTTTACCTATAAAAGAATTAATCGCTCCTTTACCAAAAAAATCTCGTACAAGTAAAGTTCCTAGACCACAAAATCCTTTTGTAATATATAGAAGGGACACTCAAGCTAAATTAATGGTTGAAAAAGGTTCTAAATTTGGTTCAAAATTGGATTTTGTTTCAAGAGTAGCTTCAAAAAATTGGAAAAATGCTCCTAGTGAAATTAGAAATATTTATAGTTTTTTGGCTCAATTGGCTAAAAAGGTTCATGAAGAAACTTATCCTGATTATGTTTATCAACCAAAAAAAAGATCAGAGAGATTTAATTCTATCTCTACTGCTTTTCCAATTTCTTCTGATATTTCTGATAATGATTCTCATAATTCAAATTTATCTGATATTTCTTTCCCTTCTTTACCTGTTCTCACTCCACCTGCTGATAATTATAATAATAATCCCTGGCCTTACCCCTACACCAGCATTGTTTCATCTTCTTCATCTTTTGTTCCTTTTAACGATACTTCTGAAAATTTTACTTTATATGAAATGTCAGGTTTACGGGTTCCCCTACCTCAACTTGAACATTGTAGGCCCATTTACATGACTGATCCTTATGATCGTAAAATGATTGATCGGCTACCTTTGACTCTTTAATATTATAACGTCAAAGTTACCATCTCTCACAATTCATTTAAATAAATAAATATTATCAAACCGTGTAAATTTAATTATTTTTTTTAAAACAATTTTATATTCAAGATATAAAGAAAATCTTTTATTTGTTTAAAAATTTTTAATTTGACAGCTGTCAAAATTTGATTTTCATATAATGATCACAAAAGTACAATAGTAAAACACTACTGCACGTGATGTGACCCTAGATTATATTTGCTGATCAGTACATTGTTTCAGGCAATGTGATGCATGATGAATTTTCTTATTCGATGTTTTGATTGTTTGTAATTTAATATCGATAGATTTTGGAATTTTTGTAACATCAAAAACCTTGGTTGTCGCAGGTTTTTGAACACTTGATGTTTTTAGAATTACGAATAATTTGAGTAGTAATAATATAAGATCATGATTTATCCATACATTAAACATCAATTATTGTTGATTAAAATACAATTATAAAAAGTTTCTCATTGTGAATCACAATTTGTGATCCAAATTAATCGTTACTCTTTAATTTATTTGGCTAAATGGCAATGGTATATAAATTTATGTAACCATCAATCTTTGGTAAAATTCATTAAAAAAAACCATATTATTAATATTTGAATCAACATTACAAAATGGCAATACTGTAAAATATAAAATTTTATTAGTAATTTTATCTTATATTTTTTTTTAGTGTAGTAATTCCTGATTTAATATTAAAATCAGATTAAATCTAAATCAGATATTTTTAGCAATTATAAATTATTTTAAATATTAAAATTACAACTCTACTATCATATAGTAAGTAAAAAAAAAATATACAGAAATAATAATAATTACTTGTTGAATTTTATAAATATCATTACAATTACCTAAACAGTTTATATGATATTAAATTTAACATTATTTGAAATTTCAATATTGTAAAGAATTTTATTATTAATTTAAAAAATTATTTTGTTAAATAACAATTCAAACTGTAAATTTATTAAATTTATTTTATTTTAATTCTTTTTTATATTATGATTTACATAAAATACTAAATAATTCATTAGATACTATTAGTTATTCCTTTTATTTATCATAATAATTACTAATGTTTAAAAAAAATTAGTGACAAAAAAATAGCTACTGTAATTACTAAAATTTAATATATAATATTTTAATAATAAATGGCAAGATTTGAAATAATTCTAATTATCAGTTTTATTCTTTTTTTTTGGTAATTTTAACTTCTACTTTCCGGTACTGCATGAATTTAAAAACAACTTTACCTTTATTATTTAGCATTTACTAAAACATTATAAATTATTTAAAAAAATAATTGGTAGGCCAAAACTATTAATTGAATAAACCTGCCAAAACATTTATGTTTACAATTATATTTTATATACTAGATCGAGCTCTTTTTTTTTATTTCTGCTCTTATAGGTTTAAAATAAAGTGTCTTGTTCACGTAAATATTCTCCTATATCAGCTTGATGAAAAGCAACAATATCTGTTGGCTGTAATTTACGAGTTTCAACAGTTGATCTAGCTGTAACACCAAATCCCTAATAATTGAAAGAACATATTATTCAATATTTAATGGAAAAAAAAAAATACATAATAAATAAAATATAACCTACCAAAGGAATATCAGACATTGAGTAAACTACAACACCTTGATGTTCAGGAGTATCATCTGTTATACGACCTAAATGTGCTTTAAGTATGTGATTTCCGTAAAGAAATGTATTTTCTCCATTTGGTTTTATCCATATTTTATACTAAACCAAAAAAAAAAATCAATATTACAATTAGAATTGAAATCCAATCATAAACCGCAAAGTTTTCACATTACCTTTGCATATTGAGCAAGATAATCTAATGCTGTAATATGTAATTTAAATTTCTTTGATTTCGTAAATTTACCAAAACATACTCCTAAAGAAATTAATTGATCACGCCCTATACTTATTGCTTGTCGCATTAATGCTTCACTAAAAAATAAAAATTTAGATCATTAAAATTTTCATGATTTAAACCTAGATATTTGATGAATCTAAACATACAACAACTAATCTTTAATATATATATATATATATTAAATTACTCGATGTTATCGAAACGCATCCATTCTAGCTTCCTTTTCTACTGCACGTTTCAATTTTTTTATTTAACACAATAACACATTATCCTCTTTTCTTATTACTTACCTCATATAATAAACCTTATCACGATGTAATCTAAAATAATAAGTTTCATCTGATCGATCAATTAAATGTACAATATTCCTTCCAATACTTATAAAATAAAAGAGAAAATATATTATGATATTTATATTTAATATTCAAAATTCCTTTAAATAAACTCGAATTATCAAGTATTTAGAAAGCAAACTGATATAAACAGTATGTCTGGAAAATACTAACTATTTCGATAATTTCTCAAAGAATACTTTGGTTTCGTCTTCTGTTAACGGTCTCATTTTTTATCAAATGGGCAAAAAAAATTTTTTTTCGGATTTTGTGAAACAAAGATAATTTAACTTGAAGTTTGTAATTTCACGTGACCGATTGACTAAAAAAGGGTTAGTAACTCCGCAATTTTGAATCAATCTTTAATGCATTATTTGTATAAAAGCAAAATATTTTCAAGTAATTAAATTAATTCTCTGATTTTTAATCTCAGAGAAATGTTATTTTTTAGTAGTCTTTATTTTGGTCATTAAAAAAACTCAATAAAATAACCTTTTGAAAAAATTTTTTCTACCATAATAATCTCTGTGATCTATTTTTTGCTATATCTTTTTTTTTTTAAAAAAAAAAGTCAATTAGTTAGAAATTTTCATAATAGAAAAAAAATAAGTTTTGGAATATTTTATTGTATATTACCTATCATTTTCCACCCATTAGTTACTGGATCCATTAATCTATCTTCCTGTTTTGTAAATACACAACCATATGTATTTTGATCAATTTGATCTTCACTTCCATATTTTATTTCATTTGTTAATCGATCACGAAATACAATTACTTCTTGAGTATTAAAGGATATTACCAATACTGGAATTTCTAAATTTTCAAGAAGTTTAGCTGTTACAAACTGTGTCAAAAAAAAAAGAAATAACATTATGAACTGCATAAACCTATAATAAAGTCAATTAGACATTTAATAATAATAGTTACCTCCACATCTCTTATATCAAGAATTCTTGAATCACTTATAAGACCTTGTTTTATTTGTGCTTTGATACCATGTGTTAATACATTATATGTCTATTAAGCAAATATATTTTATTAATCTATTTAAATATAATTAAAAAACAATAAAAATACGCACCGCTTCTGAGCACCATTCTCTTAATGTGGTTGTATCTCCCTTCAAATATGCCTCCATTATTTCGGGTATTATATACTCTCTTGCTTCCCTCATGAAATCTTCTAAATTAAAACGTGGATCAATCATCTTCATTTGTGTCATAACTTGAGCCGTTTCATTTTCCTCAAAAAGTGACCCTTTAATTTTCAAGTAAATCAATATATCAAATTCAAATTTGCTTTTATGGTTGAATAATGAACATACCTAGTGTACTCGTGAAAGCCCTAGTATATGAAATGAAAATATTGTCACTATCTTCATAACTTTTTTTCATATTAAAAATTCCTTAATATTATCAAAATACATATTAATAATCTTAAAGATTTGCATAATCTACTTAGAGAATATATAAATTATGTTACCTTGAATAATTGGATTGGTTTCTTTAATCTTATTCCAACTTTCTTTCCATGCCGAGTCTTTATGCAACACCATAGATGATCCAGCTCTATTTGAATAGGATTTGAATTATAAAGCTGTGAGCACAAGAAATTGTAACTAATCAAATTATTTGTAAAACTAAAATAGGGAGCAATATAAAAAATTTATAAGTGACACTTACTCTGGATTCATTTCAACTACTTTCGATTTCGATTTTGACAAGGCCTGCTCCTTCATCTTCTTCCTTGTTTCTTTATCAACAAACCCACCATAACTCATTGAATCATCCCCAACAGTTTCTTTCAAAGAATCGCGAATGTTTGTGTAAACCCTTGTTTGTCTTATTGGTTCAGTTGTCGTAGATACTTTATCTGAAAACTGAGATATCTAATAAAAGAATTATAAATTCATTAAATACTTAGTATATAACGATTTAATAAAAGATTACTAATAGTGTTGATATTTCTAACCTTTTCTTTACTTTCTTTAACAAAAGGAGTTTCATTAACTTTTTCGAATGTGTCTGATACTGCTGATCCAACTTTCTCAGCAGATTTTTTAATTTCATCCATAGATTTTTTAAGTTTCTCCGATCCCAGTGTTGTGGTATTTTCCGCGCCTTCCTAAAAATCAATTCCGCTTCAAAGTAAGAATGCGATTGATCTATCTATGTTAATAATTAAATTAACTTTCCATACCTTTGCTTTTATATAAGCTTCCTTGGCTTTTCTTAGAGCGTCAGATTCACTTAATTGTCCTGCCTGATCCTGTAACAATTTCACATTTTGTTGTAATTCCTTATTCTTTTTTATTTCTTCATTTATAGTCTCAAAAAATTTTGTAACAGGACTTGTATAACTTCGCGCATGTGTAGAACGATATTTCAGCTGTATTAAGTAACGTGATCTTGTTCGCAAAACATTAGAAAATGTAAACAATGTTCGTGAAGCAATCATATTAATATGCGTTGGGAGGAGATAAAAAAAAAATTTTTTAAAAATAAGGATGATAGATGATGATGTAATGATCTGTAGATCACAGTTTGTTTGCACTCTACATTGCGTCAGTCCAATTTTAGAAGTTTTTTCTTAAACTTTTTTATCGTTTAGATTTATACACATTATGTCTTCGCAAGCAGCAGATCTCACTTCTTTAGGTACACCACAACCTCCAATTCCCCCCCCTCCCTTTAACGTACCACCAGCCGAAACTCTTACACCTTCACAAATATCGCAAAACCCTTCTCTTGCTCTTGAAAAGTATAAAAAGAAAGATGCCGTTAAAGGTAGAAACCAAGATTTTGATCTAATGTACTATATGTTTTGTTTAATTTTTTATTTGGCTTTTTTTCTTTACACGTAACCTATTTGTTTTAAAGTCATAGTTCGTTTTCGGGCGATAGGAAATGCACCTATTTTAAAACAAAACTTGTACAAGATAAATGCGTCGAATAAATTCCAAGCCGTTATTCAATTTTTAAGGAGAGAACTTAATTATAAGGCTTCGGATCCTTTGGTAAATGATCTTATTTGGAAAAAATGTTAGTTTTTGTTATACAGGAACATTTTATTAATATAGTTCTAAATTCTTATAACAGTTCTTATACATAAACAGTGCATTTTCTCCTGCACCAGATGAAATAGTTGCCAATTTAGTCAAGGTATTTTATGAACATATCAAATATTGTTCTAATTTTATTCAATTATTCTCATATTATTATTTTTTTTTTTTTTTAATTAGTGTTTCAATACGGATGGACATTTGATAATAAATTATTGTACAAGTGCAGCATGGGGATAAAAATCCTCCAAGCTCTAATCAATTTTCAATATAAATAATATTTCACCTTTATTTTTTCCTCTCTAATAATAATAATTAAATTAAATATTTCTAGTGGCGGAATAGATAATTTATGATTTGGAATTCTAAAGTGATGAAAGGATTTTGGTAATATAATAATTACAATTAATAAAAATAAAGATTTATTCTGATCCGCATTAATTTTTTATAATTTTAATTAAATTTTTACAGACTTTTATAGTTAATTTTTTGAAAGGAATAAAAAAAATAAAATAGGCGACCATAATATTAGTTTTTTTTTATGATGCAGGCATGTAATGAAATGTATATGTGAAATAAAATGAATTTCAAAGGGGAAAAGGGAGGCTAGGAAGAATGTAATAAATGCTATAGAAAAACTTAATAATAGAACACATTATTATATTTCAATAGATCTTTTGAAAAATTATTATTTGAATTTAAATAAATCAATGTTCATTAAAAACTAAGTACAAAAAAAAGGTAAGAAACAAAGAATTTCACTCCTATATCCTTTTCTCTAAAAAACCGACAAAGAATATTAATTTAAAAAGTCCGATAAAAAATGGAAAGTGAAAAATTAATACTACCATTAATATTATTATTATTATTTTACTTCGTACGGTAGGATATCCGAATTCGAGAATTTTGTTGGTGACTCTATAAAGGAATTTACATTACTGATATACAAGATTGATAACATATAATATAAAGATAACTACAAAAGAAAAAAGATCCTTAGTATAGTTCAAGTTCAAGCTGTTTACAAAAAAAAAGATCGGGTTCACGATAGAAAAGCCGGTAAGTTAAAGATAATAATGGTTATTTAAACTATAAACATGGATCCGAATTGATTGAAATAAAGGATACAAATAAAAATGAAGTTCGCCTTGGATCTCTGAAATTAAGCCCCTGTGAATTATATGAGGATATATTCTCATTATCCAGAAATTTACATATTTCTTCAATCATCTGTATGAACCAATTAAATTAATATCTCGTTTATCATTGCTTAGTAAAGATGAAATTATATTCTTACCCGATCAAAATGCGGTCGTAAGCATAGCGTTGATGTGTATATTGTTAGACAAGCAAGACAATTATCAAAAAAATTATATTTTGGATTGTGAGCCTTTGCCAACAAGTCATTCAACGTATTTATTGTTTGTTGAAATCGCCTCGGGGTTATCTGAATTTAAAGGAATTAGAAATTTTTCTTTCTTAAAAAAAAAAAGAAATTTTATTAAATAATAAAATAATTTACCCGTCCATCAATTTCTACAGGAAAAGCTGTTTGAAATTGACATAGTTCTCCACTCGTATAATCTCTGTCTATTCGAATTATTCGCTTAGGTGCTGTTATTCCGGAAGTACTTACATTCGATGATAATGTATTAGGTTGTCCAGGACTTATTGAAGGACTTGAATTTTCCATTTCTGTGAGTCTTGGAGTTAACGTACCGTCTTCGGCAATTTTTGAAAAGTTTTTTTGCTCAATGTCTGTGCCTGAGTAATGAGTGTGTGATTGAGAGTCTGAAAAAATATAATTTTCGGATTTCAAGACACTTGTATTATGTCTATACGGATTTGAGGAAGTAGTAGGTATAGATTTAGAAGTCGATTGTGTAGTAAGTATATAATCTGACTGCAGCGCAGTTTTTTGCGTTTTTGGTGACTCAAGTGAGCTACCCTCAGCTTCTGTTGTGCTCGACTGGTTGGTGTCACCTACAACAACGTATTTCTGCGTTAAGGTTGTTGGCGAGCCGTCCTCTTTTTCACCCTCAATTTGGTCCTTTACAACCACGTTCTCTTGTATATTCTGAGGTGGAGCTACCTCTTCCTCTGCCACATTATTTTGTTTATCGTTTTGGCCAACTTTGTTGTCCATTTAGTGGGAGAAAGATAAAGAAAGTAACTCTTGCCAAGATTTCAACTTTGCATAATCAGAAGAACGGTAAAATCGGTCCTATTCGTTCCATAAAATAAATTGAAAACTCGCCTACATGATCTCGAAATTTTATAAATTGTAGTTTGTATCATGACACAATGTAAGGCAACGTCACTCCCTTCTGATCACAAATATACTGTACCAGTCCTTGAAATTTGTGCAATAAACAAAGAAAGATTAGCATGCGCGCATATTCGCGGGAAATTCTCTATATTGGCTTAGATTTAGCAAATTTTCTATTATATATATCAATTTAGAAAGTTTTCTTTGGGAAAATTTCCGCCGCCGATTACTTATTTTCTTTGTTCAGCCTAAAAGATAAATATAGAATAATTTAAAAAAAAAACTGGAACAGAACAGGCATCTATTTATTTTGGCTAAAATTTTATATTATAAACAGGTTTAACAAAGATCGATTGTCCCGTAAAAACCTATTTAAAACAGGTTTAACAAAGATCGATTGTCCCGTAAAAACCTATTTAAAACTTATATTGCAAATAGCACATCCATTTATCGGTATTTATCAATATAGTCAAGCTTTAAGCACCAAACATAATCTCGAAAATTCTGATTAAAAGCAATAAATATAATTTAATATAAACAACTTAAATACTTCGCTATACAAAAATTATTAGAATTATTGAAATTTGTAATAGTACACCCGCGTAAAATGCGTAAAATGTAGGATTGGTATAAATAGCGTTATGAAATCATGGAAGGATGTGACACATTGTGATAACTAACGTACCAACAGGACTCCGGTAACTCCTGTTACATAAAATGGGTAACAGTTCTATAATTATTTTTATATACATTTTTATAAGGTCAAAAAAGAAATATTACTAGAAAAAGTAATATAATAGTTCTATTTCTATTTATTCTATTTTTTAATAAATCAATTTGATTTTTTACTTCTAAAGTATAATGTTTATTATCAATAATTATTTTAGCAATCCAGTCTAAAGTGTCTAAATATTTAGAACTTTAAATTAAATTGTTCTAAATAATTATATAAATTGGGATTTAAATAATATGTTTATATTATATTTTTTCTTTAAAATATAGATTTTTTATCCTATATTAGTTATTACAATTTATTTTCTTGATCAAGTAAATATTAAATTTAAATAATACTGTATAACTTATGGATTTGTATAAAGTTAAAATTAGATTAATTTTTAGAACCTCACTTATTTATAAAATAGGTCACCCTTAAGCTTTTTAACTAATTAACCAATAGAATTTAAAAAAAAAGCAAGGTAGAAATTATTAGTAAAAAATCATAAAGGATCCTTAATTTTTAAACCAATAAATTGAATTTCATATTTACATATTAGTCTAATATTAAATAAACAATTAAATTATATAAATTAATTAACAGAGTAATTTAATACTGATCAGATGATTCCATAATATAATCTAATTATAATAAATTGTAAAGTTAAATTAGATATATAAAAAATATTTTGGTATAATAATTTAAAAATTATATTATAAAAAATACTTTCTGTAAATATTACATCTATATTTATAAAAATTAAGTTTTAACTTTATTATACAACTTTATTTAAATATAAAAAAAATAATTTCATTTAATTAAATTGACAAATTACACTTTAAAATTAAAGTTAATACTAATAAAAAATATAATTTTTATATAAAAATTATATTTAATTTTTATAAAAACTAAAATACAGGTAGTTTTAATTTGTTAAAGAAATTAAAATAATGAAATTCAGTACCAATTATAAATTTATAAATAAAATTTTATTTACTAATAATTGTTTTATATATAAATAAAGTAATTAAATTTTTTTTATTTTAATATATATCTAAATATAATAATATAATATAATAAATTTTACTAATAAAAAAAAATAAATACAGTATAATAAAAAATGCAATTCTATTAAACTTTACTTTAATATAATTAATTATTGTATATATAGTAAAATTTTTTAATATGATTCTATAAGTAATAGAAATTAAATTTATATTTTATTATACTTAAATTTAATGAAAAATATTATTTATTTAACAATTACATTAAAATAAATTGCCTAAATTTATAATAAAATATATGGGTTCTTTGAAAGAAAACTGCTAAAAAAAATTTTTTTTTTAGTTAATGCTAATTCTGAAGTATTTTTAGTATATAAATATAAATTTGATTTTTTTAGTAGTTACTCTTTTTTCTATTGCAAAAAGTCTATATTTTAAAATTTTATTATTTTTAATTCATAATCAAATATATAAAATATTTTAAATATTTATTTATTTAATTATAATATATTTTAATTTTGGCAATTTCTATTTGTACACAGGATGTTTGAACTCAGGTCATGTGATTATTACCATTTTGACCAATAGTATAAACTTTAAAATTAGTAGATAAATGGATTTTTGCCTGCTCTACAAGTTTACCTAAGGCATCAAAAGTACTTTTAAATGTCAGTTTTGACTTTACCTATGAATAATTGATTTTGCCGATCGCTCTTAAAAAAATTTAGGAAATGATCGGCAAAGACAGTTTTTCATATATAAATTAAAAACAGCATTCAAAACCCCATTGATACCTTAAGTAAATTTGCAGAGCAGTCAAAAATACATATATTACATAAAAAAAGTAAAAGGGTGTGACATTAGTATCATTATATTTCACATGACTCGTATTCAAACACCCTGTGTAAACTTTAAAATTTTCTTTAATTTTTATTCTTTTACAATATGTTGCAAAAAAATCCAGAAAATTATTTATATGATAAAAATGCATGTTATATGTTCAAAATAAACTCAACTTATATTGTATAAATTGTTGAAGTTATACAGTCAAACTTTGATATAGCAAATCTTTGATATAGTGAATTTTTCAGACAACTATAATAAATTTTCCCTTGCTATAGCGAATTAACTAATTAAATTTCTTAAAATCTTCACTATAGCAAAATCCTATGATTATGGCTAAGTTTATTACAATATGAAATATTTCTTATAATATATTTTAGTTTTATTAATTACTTAACTACTTTTAGTATTATTATTGCTTTTGATTCATAAGTATTCAATTATAAATATCAGTTTAATTATTATAATCTTAGAAAATTGCTTTATTAGCACAGGTCGAAAAGTGAAAAATTAGACATCAATCAGTCACCAATTGGTACCTGATTTTTCACTTTTTGACCTGTGTAGTTTAGCTAAAGAAGTTTCTTGAAATTTACATACTTTATAGTGAAGTTGAGATTTAGAACCTAAGGTTCATTATAACAAAGGTTGATTGTAAATACTTACATTATCTTTTAAAAAAAATTAGCAATAATTATTTACTTCAAAGTAAAAAATATAACAGAAAACTAAATTACATTTATGAAATATTGGTGAATTTAATTTAATTTAAAATACTCAAATATTGTTAAAAATAATACTATAAAATTAATATCAAAAAATCTGCAGTAAAGAAACATTTATGATAAAAAAATATAAATTTTATTTTTCAAATTATCACAATTTTGATGTATAGTAAAAAATACTAATAAATGGTTCAAATTACAAAAATATATGTAATTTACTTAAAATAAAACCAATTTTTATCATTTAAAGTATAAAATAAACTTGAATATTGAAGCTATATTTTGATATCATTTAGGGCTCAATACTTTTTTACTTTTTGAGAAAATTAATTACAAATGTTTATTTTAAAAAAAAATTTGACATGAAATCCATAAATTAAAAATAGTTGCAAATTCATTAGAAATTTCTTGAATTTTACTAAGATAAATGGGAAAAATACAAATAAAAAAAATTCTTTAATAATATAAAGCATTTATGCAAAAAAATATAAATTTGCTTTAAAATAGTTATAAAAAATTTTTAAATAAAAAAAAATATAATTATAAGCTTAATTATATATATTAATTTATTATTGATAAAATCTATAGGTTTCTATCTTTCAAATAAACTATTTTATATGTAATTTGGTGAAATTATCATGGTGTTATAGTTAATTTTTTAATTCCAGTTTTTTTTGCAATATACTGTAAATTAATTATTATTTTTAATTTTAATTAATTTTAGCATTTAACTATAAATATTATCCCTTAAATCATAAGCAATTGCAGGCAAATTTGCCCACAATTTTACCAAATTTTAGCTCTTATCTAATTTATAAAAATAAAGCAATTTTAATAAAAAGCAATTTTAATAAAATTTTTTTTCAAGATAGTTTAAATTATATATTGTGCAGCAATTATTATCATTTATTAATTATATATTAGAAAATCAAAAATTACCTATTGGTCAAAAGTTGTATTTTAAAATAATCACAAAATTTTAAAAAACTAAAAACTTTGCACTTAACTTTTACGATTTCATTGATAATTAATTGTAGCTATATAAAAGCTTAATAGAATATGTAGAAATTGGTATGAGAAACAACTTTTGTTAATATGATTTTTGATGTTTAAAAATAGGATTTTGACTTTATATAGAACCTTAATGAAAATTTTATTATGCATTTTAATTATATACTCATAAAAATTAATTTTTTTTAGGGGTTTGTTTTTTATCACATCTATATTATGTT